TGATATCTAAGAAATACTGTGTATGCCAAGCACAATGATGCTAGATCTTGTGTAAGATGATGTGCCAACCACTGGTTAAATGAAATGATAACAGGAAATTTACATTGCATCACAATCTTTCTTATTAATGAAAGGTCCTTATTCCAAAGAAGATTGCACTGCCACATAGTTTCTGCTGTTTCTTGAGAAGTGAGTTACATTGTTCAACAAACCAGATAACCTCTCTGGTAATTTATATAATGTAGAGATGAGCCAGAACAAAAATCTATGTGTAGTTTGGGAGGAAGATACTGGAGAATGTGTACAGGAGTTACATAAAAACAAGTGTATTTGTAGTTGCAATTCAAATTGTTTTGAATTCAAATTGGGCACAGCACAGAAACGGCATTGGTCGCGTTGGTGGATGATCTCTGGAGGGTTCGGGACAGGGGTTGTTCCTCTGTCCTGGTCCTATTAGATCTCTCGGCGGCTTTTGATATCGACCATGGTATCATGCTGCGCTGATTGGAGGGGTTGGGCATAGGGGGCACTGTTTTACGGTGGTTCTCCTCCTTCCTTTCTGACCGGTCGCAGTTCGTGTTGACAGGGGGACAGAGATTGACCTCAAGGTGCCTTGTGTGTGGGGTGCTGCAAGGGTCGGTTCTCTCGCCCCTCCTGTTCAACATTTATGTGAAGCCGCTGGGTGAGATCATCCGTGGTTTTGGGGTGAAGTGTCATCTGTACGCTGATGATACTCAGCTGTACATCTCCACCCCGGACCACCCCAACAATGCCCTTGATGTGATGTCCCAATGCCTGGAAGCCATACGGATCTGGATGGGGAGAAACAAGCTCAGGCTCAACCCGTCCAAGACCGAGTGGCTGTGGCTTCCGGCATCCCGATATAGTCAGTTGGTACCAGCACTGACTTGGGGGTGAGTCGCTGGCCCCCACAGAGAGGGCTCGCAACTTGGGCGTCCTCCTGGATTCACGGCTGTCCTTAGAAGAACATATGACGGCTGTGGCCAGGGGGGCCTTTTATCAGGTTCACCTGATTCACCAGTTGCAGCCCTTTCTGGATCGGGATGCCTTATGCACAGTCACTCATGCCCTCGTCACGTCCCGCCTGGACTACTGAAATGCTCTCTACATGGGGCTCCCCTTGAGGAGCACCCGGAGGCTCCAACTGGTCCAGAATGGGGCCGCGCGGGTGGTTATGGGGGCGACTCGGCGCTCCCATGTAACACCTCTCCTGCGCGAGTTGCACTGGCTCCCAGTGGTCTTTCGGGTGCGCTTCAAAGTACTGGTTACCACCTTTAGAGTGCTCCATGGCTTAGGACCAGGGTACTTACAAGACCGTCTTCTGCCACTGGTAGCCTCCCACCGACCAGTACGCTCCCACAGAGAGGGCCTCTTCAGAGTGCCGTCGGCCAGACAATGCCGGCTGGCGGCCCCCAGGGGGAGAGCATTCTCTGTGGGGGCACCTACCCTCTGGAACGAGTTGCCCCCAGAGATACGGCAGATCCCTGACTTTCGCGCTTTCCAAACTGCCCGAAAGGCGTTTTTGTTTCATCAAGCCGGGCTGGCCTGACCTACTCTTTTTAAAAAGAATTGTTTTAAAAAAATTGGGGGTTTTAATATAGGGTTTTTAACTATGGGCCAAATTGATTTAATTGGATTTTAATATTGTTTTAAATTTTGTATCTGTGTATTTTATTTGCTGGCTGTTCACCGCCCTGAGTCCCTCAGGAAAGGGGCAGTATATAAATATAATAAACTATAACTAAACTATAAACTAAATGTGATGGGAATTGTGACGTATTCTGATTACTTAAGAGCTGTGGTTGCACAGTGGGTTAGAATGCAGTATTGGAGACTAATTCTACCGACTGCTGACCGATTGCAATTCAGGTCTCACCACCAGCAGTTCGGCAGTTTGATTCTGACTGGCTCAAAGTTGCCTCAGCCTTTCATCCCAGTAAAATGAGGACCCAGATTGTTGGGGGCAATATGCTGACTCTGTAAATCGCTTAGAGAGGGACTGTAAAGCACTGACACAGTGTTTAAGTGCTGTTGCTATTTCTATTAAAGCAGAACCCAGACAGCCATTCATGATCTTTTTAGCATTCTTTATGTATGTAAAGACGTGTATATTTGTAAAGAGTGAAATTGGTGGTTTCTTTCATAGCACAGTTAACATTTATTTTTTTAAGTAGAAGATTCTAAAAGTATTAAATCAGCGATGCAGATGTTTGGTGGAAAGTGACTGTAATCACATTAATGCTATTGGATACTGGATACTAGTTATACTGAGATCGTGGATACAAGGCCTCAGTATAACTAGAAGATCAGAATTGTTTCTAGCTTTTCTTCCATTGCTAATTATCTTTCTCTGGTAACCTCCTTTAACAGAATCAACAAACCGGCTAGCATGGAAGAAACCAGCCCATCTAGAATGCTCTTTCCTTTGCCTGTCCATAGGTGTTCAGTCCTCTTTAGCTTTTCTTTACCTATATGGAGAGAGTATTAACCAGATTAGCTGCCCATTTTTTACATGGCAAATAGAAAATAAGGTTAGAAAGGTGCATAAATAACTTAAAGTAGTTCAGAAAAACTGACAAAATAGAAAATGTTACTTCAGTGTAATTGTCTAGAATATTAGTAATGTTACCTCAGGAAGGGGATATTTTTATTAGCAAAGATATTCCTTATTCCAAAGACCCAGGAAATATTCTGAAAGAAAAATCAGCCTTGTAATGCATATTGCAGTACAGGTAGTCCCCAACTTAAAACAGTTCATTTAGTGACATTGAGAAAAGTGGCTTAGGATCATTTTTCACACTTAAAACCGTTGCAGCATCTCCAGAGTCACGTGATCAAAATTCAGATGCTTGGCATCTGAATTTGGCATATTTATGACAGTTGCAATGTCCCAGGCTCCTGTGATCACCTTTTACAACCTTCTGACAATCAAAATTAATTTGATTATTCATAGATTCACTTAGCAACTATGTTAGTAACAGCTCCAGTGATTCGCTTAACAACAGTGGCAAGAAAGATTGTAAAATGGGACAAAACTCACTTAATAATTGTCTCGCTTAGCAACAGAAAATTTGGGTACAATTGTGGTTCTAAGTCGAAGACTACCGGTCTCTTATTCAGGTGAGACATTCCACGTTGTCTTCTGGGATACTTATTACACTATTCTTTTCCAAGAAATCGGCAACATTTCATTCCTATCACACAAACTTGCTTCTTATTTGGCTACCATTGAAGTCCATACCTCATGGCACCTTTAAAAGCTTTAGTTCTCTTTGGGCGGTATTTTCATGAATTGCTTTTAATTCACAAGGAACCCTTTCCCTCATCTTAATTCATGGGTAGCTACTTTTGTCTTGAAGTCCTCTTAGCTTTTATCATTCTGCAGATCTTGAAATTCTTCTAAGCCGGTTAATGCTTTTTCTGTAGCAACAATTCGGTACAGTAGCATTTGGAGAATGAGTTCAATATCATCATTTAAGATATACTTTATATGTACTGCAGTATCTGGATTTCATCTTTATAATATAAGCAGACTGTAAGTATCATGATAGGCTAGAAACTTCTTTTCTGCCAATTGTTTGCTTTATCTCATCTGCTCCCATGAGCCTCTGTTGTTTTAAAAACTGACAATTATGCAAAATTGACAGTAACATGTAATTTCTGATGAGTAAGATTTACTTTCAATTTATTTTCTTAATAAAGAAGCAACTAAAAATGTAGAATTGTCTTTGCTTTTTATTTCAAACTATTCGTATCTGTATGCAATTCTGCAATTTGCACTAGGAGATGGAAAAACAAAACAAAACAAAATGTTACGAATTAAGAATTCCACTGGTTCTTTTAAAAATGCCAGGGCTGTAGGCTAAACTGGGAAGTGGAAAAAAATAATCACAGAAGAAAACACTGCAAACCACTAATGTATCACTGCCCGAAAAGCTACGTGTTTGACTTCATTAAAATCTCAGGAATTAAGCATCACTTATTTTACCTTTGCGTACAGACAGTGCTTTCTGAAACTAAAAGATAATTTTTAAATTGTCAGAAGAAAAATAAACAGAATCAAAGACCATGGTGGTAAAAAACTCATGAGTTTTGAGAACAAGATTCCATTTTCTCTTAGGACCATGCCAAACCTCTTCCACACCATGCTGTTGTGGGCATGGTTCAGACTTAAAAGGATTAAATTTTGGAAGCCATCGAAGTGCCTTTAAAATAGTATCCAAAGGAGGCTCAGCTTGGTCTGGAGGGGGGAATGAAACATTCCAGAGTTCTATGGAAAATTATTTTCTTGAACTGGTGAATTTTACATATCCCTGCAAAAGATCATAAATATTCCTTCCTTATGCTGGTGGTATTGATTTTCCAATCTCAGAATTTCCAGAGGCGTAGAACTGGGCATAAGGAGGATCCTCAAATGCTGGAAGCAGCAAGAAAAAGAATTCTTAGCCAGAAGGCAACCATGAAGATAGAAAGCATTGTCTTTTGCCTTCCTTAGCTGAAGGTTTTGGCTGTAATCCATTTCACTAAAGTTATTAGGGAAATATTGGCATTAGTAATTGAACTCTATCTAAAGACTAGAGAAACGAAATATAAATAAGCACATATATGACAGAACGGAATGGAAGAAACTAGCAAACAATCATTTAGTAAGATTTGAAAGATAACTTTTTAGGTTAGCAAGAGGGAACTGGATTGGAGAAGAATCTTCAGTCTTATTCTGCTTTTAGTAAAGATAATGTTTGCTTACATTACAACACTGAGATAAGAATCACAAGATAACATAAAGCACTGTGAAGGTCTATATAAAATCTGTATAAATGCTAAATATTTTTTATCAGATTATACTAATATTCTTTACAATAGAATATTCATTAGTATTCAGCGTGTGGCGCTCTCTGGTGGTTCATCTCTCTGGCTTGAACCTCAGGAACTGGTTTTTGTCCCTCTTTCCCACACGTGATCGTTGTGTCTTCCTTCAGGATCTCAGTTTGCCCAACGGTACTCCTGCAGATACTTCTAGTCCCGCCTCTTCCTCCTCACTTCTTAATAGACTACAACTGGATGATGACTTGGATGGGGAGATGAGGGACCTCTTTGTCACTGTTGATGATCCCAAGAAGCATGTCTGTACGATGGAGACTTACATCACTTATCGGGTCACAACTAAGGTACCACAAGATAATTTGCTCTATTCAGAAATATTGCTTTTATTAAAAACAACTTTATTTCAGATTCCTTGAAATGCAAAGTAGCATTGGGATTCTCAAAGTTTGTTTCCTCTTGTCCTAAGAGTATTTGTCAAATTGTCAAGTCAGAGTTGATTGCATTCTTCATGTAGAAGAATGTAAAAGAATATGCATATTGGAGGGCACGCAAGAGCCCCTTGCAGTACATATTGTTTCCTTTACTTGGTTAAGATCAGTGGTGGGATTCAAAAATGTTTACTACCTGTCCTGTGGGCGTGGCTTGATGGGCATGGCATGGCTTGGGTGTGGCAGGGGAAGGATACTGTAAAATCTCCATTCCTACCCCACTCCAGGGGAAGGTTACGGCAAAATCCCCATTTCGTCCTGATCAGCTGGGACTCGGGAGGCAGAGAATAGATGGGGGCGGAGCCAGTCAGTTATCGGTTCTCTGAACTACTCAAAATTTCCTCTACCGGTTCTCCAGAACTGGTCAGAACCTGCTGAATACCACCTCTGGTTAAGATCTAAAATATTTTTCATTTCTAATTGGTGTTGGTTGCATGTTTTGAACATCAATAACGGAAAGGTTTCTACCCAGTTTCAAATAAGACTGAAAATCTTGGCCCTAACCCAGAGGTGAAATCCAGCAGGTTCTGACAGGTTCTGGAGAACTGGTAGCGGAAATTTTGAGTAGTTCGGAGAACCAGCAAATACCACCTCTGGCTGGCCCCAGAGTGGGGTTGGAATGGAGATTTTGCAATATCCTTCCCCCAGGAGTGGGGAGGGAATGGGGATTTTGCAGTATCCTTCCCCTGGAATGGGATAGGAATGGAGATTTTGCAGTATCCTTCCCCTGCCATGCCCACCAAGCCACACCATGCCCACCAAGCCATGCCCACAGAATCAGTAAAAAAATTTGAATTTCACCACTGCCCTAACCCATTGTGGCTATATGAAAAGTAAAATAAAACACTATCCTGGAAAAAAAACACTTTTATATCACATCCAAGTAAACAGCATCAGTATGTTTGTGCAGCCAGGAGTTGAGCTTAACTCAAAAATGACATTTGTGAATTGCTTGTATCTATGGAAGAGACAACAATTTGATTTTAGATTTGTTACAGAAAGAAATTCCTTTTAATATCAAAAGGGTAGAACTTTGCATAAATGTTGTAGAGAGAGAGATTGCATAAATATTGGAAATAATCTGGCATTTGCCCACAAATTTGCTCTTGCAGAAATTAAAACTTTTCTCTCTGAAGACTTTTTACTTCTGTCTTTTGTGCATATAATGATAGGACCATAACACGTTGTTCCAGATACAACCTGAAAAACTATCACAACATTGTATCTTTGCCTAAATTTCCTAAGACGGGAAGATTCATAATTTGTTTAATTTTCTCCTGTTGCTTGAGTGACTCAGCTTGTGAAATGCTGCATGGTTTGCAAAAGGAATTAAACAAGAATTTTGAGCATTCAGAAATAATGTATTTTATTTAAGAAATGCAGAACATTAGTTTTCATACACTAGACTTTCTTGTTCTCTTACCACTTGATGTTTATTCTTTCATTTCAGACCACTCGAGCTGAGTTTGACTTGCCAGAGTATTCAATGCGCCGAAGATACCAGGATTTTGATTGGCTCAGGAATAAACTGGAGGAATCTCAGCCGACTCATCTCATTCCTGTAAATACTAAGTCAGAGCCACAAGCACATTAGTCTTTTTTAAACAGTGTTCATCTCCTATTATAGGTGCACAGTGGCTTGAGAGGTTGGAATGCTGGGCAGGAGGTTAGCACACCCGCATTCAAGACCCAAGAGCTGCCGTGAGGTGAGGTTGAGCTCTCCTCCTTTACTCCAGCTCCTGCCGGGGACATGAAAGGAGCCCCCAACTGGGCGTCTCCCGGATAACGGTGACATCACTGGCTAATCCTTTCACCTCAGGTGCTTCTGACACAAGTGCAGAACAAAAAACAAAAAAACCTACAAACCCTCCCGTTATTGGTCCAGGCAGTCCCTGAGAATTGGACGCAATTTGAATGGAAGGAGAAAAATGGATTCAGGATATATCAAGATGTTAATTCTGCGCTGAACAATTTTCTGTTGAACTAAGTTACCTTGATATTATGGTTCAAAGTTTTAATTTTATAAAATTAGATGTATAGTTTCCTAATAATTGATTTAGATTTAAATTCAAGTGTCTCATTGGACTTCTTGAAGCTGCATATTTTTATGAATAAATAACAAACGTTCCTTGGACTGGAAACAGTCTTTGCTTCTTGTTGATGTACTATTCCATTTTACGTGCTCATTTTCAAATCGTATTATCTAATAGCACTCTCTTTTTTATAAAGTGGGTTACTGGATAAATATGTCTATTAAATTGACTTTATCTGCTGGGATCTTTGAGATTTTTAACATGCACTTTAATTCATCTTCTACTTCCTGCCTTTGCCACTACCAAGTGAGATTTAAAATGCATGTTTGGAGAGTACTAGTGGCAAAATTGTTGTCCCCATAAACATAAATATTAATATTCAAAAATGGAAAGTAATTTGCGGTTATGTGATCTTATGGTGTTAGCACTGCAGTCTTAACTATATTTTATTGTTAACTTGGAGATTGCAATGATAAGCTGGCAACTAAAGCAGGCCACAATGACTGAGTTTTAGCTTCTCTTACTGCTCTGCAGGGAACAGAGTGTACTTAAAACAACCCAGATGTCTTTGAGATAAAGCAGAAGGACAAGGCAGGTTGGAGGGGGGTGGGAAGTATTGCATGGTTAACTGGCCTGAGAGTCTGAGGCCAGAAAAATCCAAAGAAGATACAAAGCCTGTGACTTACTGGGTTATGAACAAGAAAAAAACTCATCTGCTACAGAATAGGTGTAACCTGAACATCAAGGAGAGATGTCAGGTTCCAAGGTAGATTTTAATTCTCCCACAGTTATCTAAATATTAATGCAAAAATTACTGTACACACACACATATACATATATGCATCCACACATAAGTATGAATCTTGCTTCCTGTAACTTACTTTCTCTCCTCCTCAGCCTCTTCCAGAAAAATTTGTGGTCAAAGGTGTGGTTGATCGTTTTTCAGAAGAATTCGTTGAAACGAGGAGAAAGGCCTTGGATAAATTCTTAAAAAGGATTGCGGATCATCCAGTACTTTCTTTCAATGAACATTTTCATGTATTTCTTACAGCCAAAGTAAGTGCATTGAATCCACACAGATTTTCAGATTTTCAAAACTTGTAATTAGAGGTGCAAATTCTAAGAACCTGCTTAGACTATGAACATTTTCTTGCAGCAGCATAAATATATGTTTCTTTAATCCATTAGCCAACTCTTTTGTTAAATGCTAGCTTTAGATTCTGGTAGGTGTTGGGTATTGTCTTTTAGTGTACAGCTTGTAGTCTTTAGAACAATAAAATAAACCCAGCTGATTTTTTTCAGTAGCCAAGAACATCCTTCTTTTCTTCAAACAGTTACTTCACTGCTTTAAAATAGTCACTTAGATATTACTAAGGATTTTCTACTTTTTAAAAGCACTCATATAGTCCACAATTTAACCATAGCAAATTCAGTGATACGAACATGACTGTTTCTTGCTCAGACAGTTGTATGAGAGTGAATAGTTTCAGCAAAGCTGTAAATTTATTAATCATTCTATCGATACCAGGATCTTAATGCTTACAAAAAACAAGGAATGGCTTTGCTTACCAAGATGGGAGAATCTGTAAAATATGTCACAGGAAGCTATAAATTAAGAAGTCGACCGTTGGAGTTTGCTGCCATGGGTGAATATCTAGATACGTTTTCTCTGAAGCTAGGAACTATTGATAGAATAGCACAGCGGATAATCAAAGAGGAAGTGGGTAAGTAGGACTTATAGCTTCCCTTGTAACTCCCATTTTGTTATTTTTGTTTTCAAAAAACAAATTGTGAAATATGCATGCATTCTTCTTCTCTTGGATGTAGATTTGTTATGCTGCAGAAGTAGCTCTGCAAAAAATTTTTGGAAATGTTGGGCATGTTTTAAAAATCACTAAATTCTTATATATCTCTTCTCCTTATTTTGCTTCTTACAATACTGTTCTTCATAGTTTTCCCAAGTGTAAATAGTTTCTTATTTGCCTCATGCCTTGCCAAATATGAATATTCCACTCAAAGTTGGATTTGAATTTTTTTTTAAAAAAAAAGTCTCATAATCTTGAAACACTGAATTTTCTGTCCCTCATTTTGATCTGCTGCAGAATATTTAGTGGAACTACGAGAATACGGTCCCGTTTATTCAACCTGGAGTGCACTAGAGACAGAGGTGTCTGAACCTCTTGAAGGTGTATCAGCCTGCATTGGAAACTGTTGCACAGCTCTTGAGGAATTGAGCGAAGACATGACTGAAGACTTCCTGCCTGTTTTACGAGAATATATCCTGTATTCAGATTCCATGAAGGTAATGTGGAATTGCAAGACAGATGTTTGTACATGCCTTGTGTAGCTTTCCAAATCCTTTCTTCAAAGGAAAGGTAACTCTTTGGCCCATCCCTTGAAATTTTACACATGTTAACTTAAAAAACCTCAACTTTAGCATCCCTGAAACTATTCTATGTGTTTCTGCCCCCAGAATAAAGTAAAGGTAAAGGTTCCCCTCGCACATATGTTCTAGTCGTTCCTGACTCTAGGGGGCAGTGCTCATCTCTGTTTCAAACCTGAAGAGCCAGCGCTGTCCGAAGACGTCTCCGTGGTCATATGGCCAGCATGACTAAACAGCAAAGGTGCATGGAACGCTGTTACCTTCCCACCAAAGGTGGTCCCTATTTTTCTACTTGCATTTTTTTACGTGCTTTCGAACTGCTAGGTTGGCAGAAGCTGGAACAAGCAACGGGAGCTCACCCCGTGGCACTAGGGATTTGAACCGCCGAACTGCCGACCTTTCGATTGACAAGCTCAGCGTCTTAGCCACTGAGCCACCACGTCCCTAGCACCCCCAGAATACTAACTGACAAAACAATGAATGCAAACTTTTATGGCTGGTATAGATGTAAACTGGCTTTGGATTAATAATAATTCTACCGTCAGAACTATTTTCAGAAATATGTTCTTTTCTAGAACAAATTTCCTTTCCTCTGTTACTTAATGTGATTTGCTCTCAGTTTAGTGGTGTTTATAGTTACTCAGGTTTATTTGAAACCTTGGGCCTGGAATGTAATTTATGGTTTTATTCTTCAAATCCCGGAGTAGTTCAGTACCAGACATGCTAAGAATTGGGTAGGGAGGGGTTGATGGTTTGTCAACAAACTCCATATGAGGACAGAGGATTATTACCCCTACTTCCTTACAAAGGTCTAGCATATCTATTCCATGTGGTATCTCTTATAACAGTGATTCACACGCGGCATAGACATTTTGCAATGTATAATGTGTTTTTTTATCTTAAAATCCTTGTCTTCAATATATATATATATATATATACATGTGGGCTGTTGTCATCAGAATAGAGAGTTAAAATCTTGCCCGCAGGATTTTGCTGCATATCTATCCTATATTTAGATTTCATGGCTAACCACAATACAGGCAATCTCTGTCAGCCTGTTTTCCTTGACCTTAAATTTATTTTAATGTTATTTGCATGTACCAAGAGGTTGTAGTCTACATAACACATGAGGATTTGCTGTTTAAATGTAATCCAATTGTGTGTTTCTGGTGTATGACTTACGATATGTAGGTTGTGGGAATTACAAGAGGGCCAGGATGTGTGGTCTTCATGCTGACTGCTATTGCATTTTTTTTTAAAAAGCAGAGCAATAAGAACTCTTGGGATGAGGCAGAACAACTGGGCAGAGTTAGTACAAACTGTCCCCAGTGGAATGTTTGGACCATTAGGTAAGGAGTTAGTTTTTAAATGTTAATATTGTTCGTGCTAGAGTAGTTTAAAATACATTTGAAATGGGCAAATACTGTTATCCATGCTCTGTCTTGAGAAATTCCACCGCTTTGTGTGGTGTTTCAGAGAACTGCAATTTTTCCAGTCTTAATTTTTTAAAGAAAAAAAAAGTTGACATGTCTTTTATCAATAAAATACAGATTAATACAGGGGTGGGCAATTAATTTTCCCAAACTGGGACTTTGTGCAGGGTCGAACCAATAGACTGAATTTAATTCTGCTGCCAGCTCATGTTGAGGGAAGAGAGAGGAGGGAGCCTTGCCTTGGCCTGGCCACCATTCTTTTACCACAGGTGCAGAAAAGCTTTCTCTCACCAGCCAAGTAAAGGAGTGTACTTGGCTTCCTTTCCCTCCCCCTGCGGCCCACTTATTTACATTTTATTTTCTAAGTTCTGATTGACCTCATGTGGGCCAGACAGGAACAATCAAAGGGAATGTGGCCCCAGGAGCTGTAAAATGCCCAGATCTGGCAGAAAATATATATATTGTCATTCAAACTCAAAAAGAATACCTTGTTTCCCCGAAAATAAGACCTCCCCGGATAATAAGCCCAATCGGGCTTTGGAGCACATGCGCTAAAATAACCCTCCCTGAAAATAAGCCCTCCCCGAAAATATTTAAATGCATGCACAGCCAGTTCCCGCAATTTCCTCTGGTTAGGGTTAGGGAGACAGAGCTGGAAATCAGGTAGGATGGCAAGAGGAGCCCCGTCTTGCTCCATGTGCCCCAAAATAATAAGACCTCCCCGAAAATAGGGCCAAGTGCTTATTTCAGGGTTCAAAAAAATATAAGACAGGGTCTTATTTTTGGGGAAACATGGTAGCTAACATTCTAAGACTTTTTTTTTAAAAAGGGAGCTAGTTAATGATACAGGACATCTTTTGCATGCTGGATAGTCAGCCTTTCAACCCCTGGCACCTTTTTTTTTTTTTTTTTTAAATTTAGTGAGAAAGTCTTACAAGAACACTGGAAGCTGCTGATGCTACTACTGGGTTACTACATGGTCACATACAGTAATTTAACCTGAATGATTTTTGTATTTATAGATAGTTGGTTAACCATTTGTTCAGTAGCCATTCAAAGTTATGATGGCGCTGAATAAATGATAATTATGCCTGGTCTTTGAAGTTATGGTCATTGCAACACTCCCACAATCACTTGATCAAAATTCTGGCACTTGGCTGCATGCCAGGACTTAGGACTGCCGAGGGGCTTCAATTCTCCCCCCCCCCCCCACACACACACTTTTTGGGCATTGGCCACCTCTGCCAGCCCCAAAAGAGCAGGAATGGGGGTAGATAGTCAAGGGAATTGAAGAGGATGCAGTTCTTTTATCTTACTGTGGCTTGGAGCTAGGAGGGACCAAGCTGGGATGGTGACAGATGGGACCAGGATTACGGTCACTAAGTGAAGTGATCACATGAGGTCATGCCTTTTACAATTGCATCACTTAGTAATGGAAATTCTGGTTCCAATTACTCATTTGTCAGCTGAGGAGTACCTGTACTGTGACAAATACCAGTAGTTGAAAATCCTTAGCCTAAACTGAGATCTAACTTAATTCTGTCTAAGCTGATTTTTTTTAACTCTGCAATCCGTCTTGCCGAATATATATTTGTAAAAAGGCCTCAAAATACCATTTTAAGATGTAAATCTGAAGTGGGGAACAATGGCCCTTTTATGACCTGTGGACTTCAACTCCCAGAATTCTTGAGCCAGCATGGACATGGCTCAGGGATTCTGGGAGTTGAAGTTCACAAGTCATAAAATGGCCGTAGTTCCCCACCTCTGATGTAAATGAAGAAGATAGATGTAAATAAAGGAAATATATTTTTTTGAGTGTGCATTTACTGGCTATGCACCCATCATAACTGCCAGTCATTTTTCAATCTGATTTCCTTAGGTGGGTAAACCGAAGATGGACGTGTTGAGGAAATGTGAGGCATTTAGATTGTTAATTATTGTTGGTGGGAGGCAGTATTAGAGATGAGATGATCATAGATGTAGCCATATAGAACTGTCTTTCCACTAATGGGATAAGTGGTTGGGTTAAGCCTTATTGATACATTGATCTGAACACATCAGGCTGAAATGGCGAGGGAGATCGAGCTGTGGTTGTTGCATCTGTTCTCTGTATTTTTTGTCCTTTGTCAACCTTCAGTCTTAGACTTGGTCCACTTAAGTCCCAGGTGTCAAACTCTCCGCTTCACATTGCCATCACATGATGTTTTGCGACATTTGCAGAGCTGGGGTGGGCATGGCCTGCGTATGATGGATCCGGCCTGCGGGCTGCCAGTTTGACACCCCTGACTTAAGTGATGAAGGTTGTAGTTTTTGCTCATATATTGCTGAAGTCAAGAAGCACTGACTCTAGGCATAAGAGCTGAAGAATATATAGATGAATGGATGAATGAATAAATAAATAAAATATGGATTCAAAAGAAAAAGAGTTGTATGGTTATTAACAATAACAAACAAAGAAGGGAGTCTTTGTTTTAAAAACCCCTAACTGGTGGGGAGGCTGACAGATGTTATCTTTTGAAGGACCCTACCCTCCTCTCTCTCCCTCCTTTTGTAAAGTAAACATCTCTGTATTTTCAAACTGCATTGCAATGTCCTAAAATGTGAAAAAAGGAGAAACCTACATTAATTATCCATATTTTATAGATAAATCAGAATCCTGAATCAAAGACTGCCAACTTTGTAGGATCCCTGGATGAATTTTGAGAAATTAGGAGTGAAGGGCCAGCATAGCACATGGTTGTATGCAATAGTGGGTTTCAAATCCCGTTGCTACTGGTTTGCTTGTGGGCACGTGCACACTCCTGAGCATGCGCAGAAGCTTCTGCACATGCAGAGAAGCATCCAGGCGGGTGGGCAGAGCCTCCCGTCGCTACCAGTTTGCCCGAACTGGGGCAAACCAGTAGAAAACCACCACTGGTTGTATGGTGCAAAACCAGGACAGGTAGCTCTGTCTACCTATCAGTTTAGATTCTAGTCTATGTAAAAACACCTTTATTGCTGAGCACATTGTAAGCCGCCCTGAGTCTTCGGAGAAGGGCGGCATATAAATCAAATTAAAAAAAAAAAAAAAAAAAAAAAAAGGTCATTCAAGACTTTGTGACATTACTTTTCTGCTGTTAACCATACCTTTGTTTCTCAAAACTGTATTGAACTACATAGAACAGATGTGATGTGTTATAACATAAAATAAGGTAATGTAATCTTTTTTCCCTCCTCCTCCTCACAACCTTGCAGGTAGCCCTCAACTTACAACCACAATTGAGCCCAAAATTTCCATTGCTAAGCAAGACAGTTAAGTGAGCTTTGCCCCATTTTACAACATCTCTTGCCATAGTTGTTAGTAACACTGCATTACTGCAGTTGTTAAGTTAGGAACACATTGTTAAGTGAATGTGGTTTTCCCATTGACTTTGCTTATGAGAAAATCACAAAAGATGAAACAGATGACCCTGGGACATGCAATTGTCATAAATACATGCCCTGAGGAATGCGGTGGCTCAGTGGCTAAGAAGCTGAGCTTGTCAATTGAAAGGTTGGCAGTTCAGTGTTTCAAATCCCTAGTGCCGCGTAACGGGGTGAGGTCCCGTTACTTATCCCAGCTTCTGCCAACCTAGCAGTTCGAAAGCACATAAAAAATGCAAGTAGAAAAATAGGGACCACCTTTGGTGGGAAGGTAACAGCGTTCCATGCACCTTTGGCGTTTAGTCATGCCGGTCACATGACCACAGAGACGTCCTCAGACAGCGCTGGCTCTTTGGCTTTGAAACAGAGATGAACACCGCCCCCTAGAGTCGGGAATGACTAGCACATATGTGCGAGGGGAACCTTTACCTTTACATGCCAGTTGCCAAGCATCTGAATTTTGATCACGTGACCATGGGGATGCTGCAATGGTCATATGAAAAAGGTCATGTCCTTTTTCTCAGTACCATTGTAACTTTGATCAAAAAATGAAGGCTTGTAAGTCAAGCCCTGTATTATTTTCCTGAACCATGGTGGTTTCAAATGGATTATGCTTGTCATTGCTGTACAGAATATGGGTTCTAGAAAAATCGAAGCTTTCCTGTAGTATAAAAAGTCACCATTGATTTTTACAGTTAATTAAATTAATTAATTGCAGTGCCTCTTTCTCACTTCTCCCCTCTTAGAATGTGCTGAAGAAAAGAGATCAAGTTCAAGCAGAATATGAAGCCAAACTAGAAGTTGTGGCCCTAAAGAGAGAAGACCGTCCCAAGGTTTGCTATGGGGGAAAAGCTTTTAAATAGAATGTGGGGGTCTGTTCAATAGTTTATTTTACTGAAGCTTTCTAATATCATCTTCTATTCTTTGAGGAGTAGCATCTTATTTTGATTCAATACCAACACCTATTGAACTGAGGCTAGGATGTGGGTCAGTTTTGTGAAAGAAGTTATTTTGAAAATAAGAGTTCTTATGAAATATAGTATCTCAACTCTAATTATAATTAGCATTATCTGATCTGATTATAAAACTGTGTCTTGATAGGTGAATAGAAGCTTTTATGCACACAAATAGTTGATATATTCTGGGTCATGAAGTACAGGAGATGAGGAATTATTGGTTTCATTTCTAGACATAATATCACATCTCCTTCAGTTTATTCTCAATAAGTGTTCTGAGTTTGCTTTGTTGCTATTCGTTCTTGCTCAAGAACCTACAGGATTAAAAAAAATCAGTACTATTTTGTGGAAGGATTATTAATTACTTGCCTTGGGAATAAGCTTCACTGGATTTAATTTACCAAATTCTGTGTACAGTAGCTTGAAAATCTCTCCCAGGATAACATCCAGTAGTAACTCCATTTTGTTCTCTGAACAATCTAACGTTGAAAGAAATATTTACGGGCCAGATGTGTCACATGCAGGCCACACCCATCCCAGCTCCACCAATGGGAAAAAATGTGGCGGAGCATCACATTATGGCAACGTGACATGGCGAGTTTGACACCCGTGTAGTAGACTGTATGAGTAGAACTTTATGAACTCTGCAGCAGACATTAATTATGTCAGGGTATGAAAGAATTATCAGCTGTAAACTGAGCTGGAAGCTGATGGGAAGCTGGAAGCTGATGCAACAGAATGAGGCATTAGAGTTACTGCCACTTTAAGAAGCTGGGCCAGAAGCTGCCTTTATAAAAGGAAGCCATTAGAGGGTGTTCCTTCTTCCTCAAGCTTTTTCCTCAAGTCTTCTCATCCTGCATTATACTTCTTGTTCTCTCTGTGTGTATTATTGCTTGTCCGTGTATCTGTAGCTGTAAAGGTATTTAACCATGTATGTGTCTGTATAGTTCACTGTATATGGGTATTTATGGGACCGCCTTCTGCCACCAATAGCCTCCCACCGGCTAGTGCGCTCCCACAGAGAGGGACTCCTCAGGGTGCCGTCGGCCAGACAATGTCAGGTGGCGACCCCCAGGGGGAGGGCCTTCTCTGTGGCAGCACCTGTCCTCTGGAATGACCTGCCCCCGGAGATACGTAGGATCCCAGATATCCGTGCTTTTCGCCGTGCCCTTAAAACTTTCTTATTTCATCAAGCCGGGCTGGCTTAACACACACACACCCTTAGATATTTTTAATTGTAAATTGATTTTAGTTGGGGTGTTTTAAACTTATTGGGCCAAAATTTTGTTTAATTCTTTTTAAAATTTTAAATTTTGTATGTGATGTTTTTATTCTTGGCTGTTCACCGCCCTGAGTCCTGTGGGAGAAGGGCGGTATAAAAATCTAATAAAATAAAAAAATAAAATAAATAATATATAAAATCACTGTTATATCTAAAAAGCTCTGAGTGCTGTGTACTGTTATAGCTCCTGGGTTTATCTAATAATACTAGTTACGCTGCCTAAACTTTGACAAATTAAATTTGCTGTGAGAGATTGGAAGGTATTTCTGATTCTTCTCAGTGAGAGGCATCTTTTGACGTCTAAAAAGCTTTCAGAACTTATTTCCACAGCATTGCTTCCTTTTTGGTTTTCAGATGCCCACAGAGGTTGAAAAGTGTCAAGACCGGGTAGAATGTTTCAATGCTGACCTGAAGGCTGACATGGACAGATGGCAGAACAACAAGCGGCAAGATTTTAGGCAGCTGCTGATGGGAATGGCAGATAAAAACATCCAATATTATGAGAAGGTAATGCTCTGAATTTGCCACTAAATGCAGGAAAGCAATTGAATGTAATTTACTGGTTAACTTGCTCACGCCAGTTGAGTACAAAGCTGATCCAATAAGGTTTAGAATTGCTCTCTTTTTCTTCCTGGGTGCACTAATCTTGTTAAAGCTTTAGTAGTTTTATATTCCCACTGACGAGGCTGAATCCGGTCCTCAGAGATAGAGCAGGGAATTACATTTGTAGTTTGCCAGTAAGTGACGGCCATAGCATAGGTTAACCTTGCATATCATGGGCTGGATTGGCTGCAAATTCTGGGAAATGTCCTTCCAACACATTTGGAAGTCATCAGGTTATAGAGAACTGACTACCAAAGGCTATTTGCAAGGCCACCATTAAATCTGTTCTGGGTAGGACCTTGCAGAAGTTACATGTTAACACTGGTCAAAAAGACACCCGTGTATGTTAAAATGATCGAGATCTGCCAGTCAGTATTGGCATTGCGGGGCTGATGAATCCATTCCCCCTCCCCCCTTTTCAGAAAGTTTTTAAGTTTCCTTGAAGAATTTCACAGCTGAAATATTTTAGCATGCTGTTGCTTCTGTAAAGGTTTAAAATGGCAGAGATAATTTAGGAGTCAAGCAGCTGGAATAGATGTCGTTGGACCTAAATAAAGTCCAGTGCTATTAAGTAGGATCTTAAAAAGTATCAAAACTTTCAGAGCAATAGTGCTACTACCAAATAACCCAGATAGTATTGGAAATGCAAACAAGTACATTAGTGTAAAGTTGTAAATTATGTGAAACCATATGTGGGTAAGTAATTTTTTACCCTGTAAATAAGGCTTATAGATCTTTTTAACTTGTCGGGACTTCTTTCCATAGGGGCTTTTTGCCATATACTTATGACACATTTTTGGGCTCTCTTTAATATCATCTTATACTGATTTATTACAAAACAAATAAATATTCTATATTTCCCATGCTCCTTCCCACAGTGTCTCTTTCACATAACTCCTTTGTTCCTTTTCGCCTTTCTGTTTGTTCGCTCTGGCCAAGCTCCCACCTATCATGGTGCTAAAATGTTTTATGAATCTTTTTGAATTTTCAATTTCAATTGACAGAATATCACCCAAAATGTGATCTGTCCTCCCCACAAGTCCTAAAACTATATAAAGAAAATCCAATTAAACAAATGAATCAAAAATTTACTTGTTCTACGATTTATTGAGGAAAATGATCTGAAGCTACAGATTTGTGTGTGGCAAAAGTATGTGAACCTTTGATAGGTGGGAAATCTTGAAAATATAAGCTCCAGTGCAGCTGGAAGGTGCTAGATTTGGAAAGGATATGAGATATCTCACATAAAGGAAGACAATCTCCAAGGTGTATATGGTGTTCTTTAATAGATAAAATGGTGGTTAACATAAAATTGTGCCTTTGCAGCTGCTGTGTTGGAAATGCAGATATTGATAACATTGTTTAATCCACAAATTGTGTTATTTAGGGCCACTTAAGTTTTAAATGACATTATTATAGACCATTCTATGACTACTTGATTTAAAATGGCATTATTAATTAATTGTTGCATCTGTTTCTTTGGTTCAAATAGTGCCTTACGGCGTGGGAGTCTATTATACCACTGTTGCAAGATAAGACTGAGACCAAATAAGCTGCAGCTTTTTTCTGAATTTCTTCCCTGCACCACGGACATTCACCAAATGCCCAGAATCACTACCACTGATTATACTGAAGATTTACTATACACCTTGATGTAAGTTTTTTTTTCTCTCCTGGAGGAACACCAAGTGTGCTAATTCTGAACTGTACATTTTTTGCCACTTTTTAACCAAACCACCTTGAACATTCTTACTCTGTGAACTTTGGATGATGGAAGTTAAAACAAGAGCACTTTTTTTCTCTTGGACCACTTTATATTAAATGAAATTGATGAATGGAACACTAAAATCATAATAAAAATAAAGACTCTTAAATGCAAGGTGCCAACTTGCCCTTCCTTTTTGTTATCGGTCAGGATAAGGTATGTTGATCGTGAAACAAAAGCATCTTCAAGCCATCCTGATTTTGCTTCCCTTCACATATAGAAAAGGGAATATGATTGATGTAAGATACCTGTTGGATTCTGTAGCATCTCTTAAATGTGAGCTTTTTGTGCAGAATGGGAAATATTTAATTTAATGTAGAAACAGGAGTTGCTATGGTCTCCATATAATATATTGGAAATGTATAGAATATTTGTAAAATAATGTTTCTAATCTAACCTATGGATATGGTGCATACTCAGACTTCAACTTTGGGATGGTAGAGGAAAGAAACGATTCCCAAAGTTTGTATCCAGTATTGTTTACGGTTTTTTTTTCCCTTTAAAAAAGAATGAAAAGCCAGGTAATTTTTTGATTTCTCAAAATGTTTGGTTTGTGTGTGTGATAAGCTACTCTTTATGTCATGTCTTAGCTCATGCCAAACTTCTCATTGTCACCTAGCCTTTTTTTTTAAAACTGTGGGAATCTTCTTCAAGATAAATTAGTATAAAGTATTTAAGCAAGCAAATAGTAACTATATCTGTAGGTGGGTTTGTTTGTTTTTTTACTGACCAATTCTGAAATAAATTCTTGACACATTTAAGGAATCTGAAGGGAAGCTATTGCTTTCCCCTACTAAAGGGATCAGCTCAGCATTTCAAGCACTTCTGATTCTGCCTTTGTTCTTGTGTTTCTTTTTAGTTCAATAGGTATTTATTTTGGGGCATTCTGTATTCATTGTTATTCTTGAAAGGGAGAAGTACAACCAAAATGGAGTCTTGATCTAAGGTTTCTTGCTTCATTTATATTTTTAAGAATTCCTTGATATTTTTTTTTAATACAATAGCCATAAAAAACCCAGAAGTGTAAGATTTCATAGTAGTGATTTGTTCAATAGCAAAACAACAACAACAAAAAAAAAACAAAAAAAAAAACATTGAATTAAATCTGAAGTTATTGCTGTATGACATTTTCTGAACTAGAGCCAACATCATTAGATGTATGAGATAACATGGACTGTAAACTCTGAAAACCTTCTGCCTTCCTCAGTGTATTGTCTTCCAGACCGGTTAGGCTACAATTTCCGTCCTCAAGCAATTTTGGCTGTCATGGTTGGGCTGATAAAAGTTAATAGCTCTGCATAGTATATAATCCATCATGTTAATGAAAAGTAGCTTAAATAATGCTTTAAAATACTTTGAAACACTTGATGGTTGATTGCTCAACAGATTTACATAGTTTTGTCAGTGTTGCTCTATAACAACTATAACACTATTTAACTAGCAATTTTCTAATTTTTATTATTATCTACGATCATCAAGCATTCAAACTATTAGAATGCCAGCCATGTAAAATGCACAAAAAGCATCCTTAAAAGTTTCAGTTAAATTTTTCTCAGTTTCAATAGTTTGGATACCAGTCCCTTAAATCTCTTGTTAACTTGAAGGAAAATTGAAAATCTGTGTCAGGATAATTTCTGGAAATGAATTTCTGAAATCATGGCCCCCATAGCGATCCTACAGTTTTTAGAACCTGTGACACTTGAGTCTAAATTAATTAATTAAAATCAATAATTTAAAATAATGTATGTTTTTATATTCAGGCATATTTCTGGTAGTGGATCTCACATGGGGTGCTTGCTTAGGGGAAGAATTTTCACCTGCTCCAAGTTTAGATGATTAGATACACATAAATATATGATCAAACAGTAACCCCAAAAAGTGAGAGGGAAACTATAGTTTGTAGTTCAGATAATAGAAGTTGCCGTAAAATCCTTGCTTTTGTTTGTAAAAAGAAAAAAAGAAAAAGAGTTGTCCGTTCCAACACCCACAAAACACCATAGCAAAGAGGTGTAGTTGTTGCTGTGTATCTGGGTAGTACAATTTAATTGTATTAGAAAACTGCCTCATTCATTTTCAGAGCTGGGAAAAAGTCATTCTTCTCCCTGCAGTGTTTTCTTTTTCTTAATTCTTATTAGTGTTAGAATTTAGCAGCTTCTCTTATTCCAACTGTTAGTGTTTCTAAATTACCTAAGCAGACTTTCTTACGTATTACTTCATTCTGCTCTAATAAGATTAGATAAGCTGTATTCTTTCTGCCCTGATCTGCTCATTCATTTGGATGCACACAGTAGAAGCCAACTTGGGGACTAAAAGGACCAAACAAAAATAAGGCGAATATTCCTGCTTATTCCACCTTGCCCCACCCCATAACTCACAGATGTATCACAATTGCCAGCCCTGTATTTATTATCCTAATAAACCAAACGGAATCCTATTGTCAATGTTTGACCACTAGGGGGAGACGTAGCACATATTTTTCAGCAGCTATAAAAAAAATTTCAATTTATAGCCAAAAGTTTTTATTTTAAATGTTAACTTACATAATTATAAGTGTTTATTATAATTGTTAATTATAACTGTTTGGCTTGAGAAATGGCCTTTTTCTTCCAAGATCTTACTTGTTTTTTCTAACCCAGGCTATGGCTGCTTCTGTGTTTCCTACATGCAGGGTTGTAGATCAGGCTGATATTATTTTGAAAGACATACTAGCTAATTAAAATTTGGCAGTAGATTTGTGACTACCGAGGGATTAATACCTTACCCCATAACAGATGATGGAACATATTTATTGCTGTGGCGTTAAGCAAGCCTTCTGTTTTATGCCAGCTTGCAAACTCTATAACAATTTAGAGAAATGACCAATATATTACTAAGAAAAAAATAAATGTGATTTACTTTCTAAAGAGATAATGATAATAATGTCATACAAAGTTGTTCTTGTAAACTATGTAATTCTCTATGTCTGCATAAGTCCGATGGCCTGTTGTTTTTTTTTAAATTGCATGTAACACCTAAGGCTATATGTTGGCTTGCACTGGGACAGATCTGCATACCTAGTTGTAAAACTAGGTCCTGTCCCAGTAGACAATCTGTCCAACACATTCAAGAGTTGCTATCACCTGGCTTCCATAACCAGCACATGAGGACTTTTGAAATAAATCCTTGTCTATTTAACCAGTGCCAGATTTAGACTTTGTGAGCTATATAGAACAGAGCCTTTTGCTAAAACATTACACCTGAATGTCTCACAAAAGTGTGTACCAAAATAAGACTTTGAATCACCACACAAAAGAAATTGAAAACATATATATATATATGCCTTTTAATTTTCAGCGAGGTATTTAAAGTGAAAAATACGAATCATTTTCAAATGGTGATTTATTGATTACATATTAATCATTTGGCTGGCTTGATCTCATAGATGACAATATAATATGCCTTGGAAATAATACTTAAATGTACTTCATAAAATAATGTTAAGATATATTTCATACACACACACAATGCTGACAAAATAATCAGGATCATTTTTAATAAGTAATACACATATTTGCAAAATCAGAGAACTGACACCAGATACAATTTAAAACATTTTCTTGATTTCTCAAAAGTGAAATAATTCTGGAATTTTGTGAGGCCCTAAACTATAGCTTGTTTAGCTTTTGCCTATATTTAGCCCTTATTTGATTAAACACACTGATAATTTCCAACATTTTAAAAAGAAATGACCCTTTAGGATTAGATTTCTTTGGGGCTTATGTAAAGTGTAGCAGGGAGTTTGATACGTGGTTTTGATTCATGGGACTTTAATGCTAGGTTTCTCTTCACTCATGTTCCCCAAATTGTTAATATGCTTATATTTTGCGATTGTCGAAGAGTTGATTTGACAAACCTCTTATTTGGGGTGATTTCACAAAGTACATAAATAGCACTTTGCCCAATATTTGAGCAAACAAAACAGGAGTGATTTTTCTCTCTGAATCTTATGCTAAAACGTATGGATGTAGGTATGGATATTTTTCCTTGCATTTTACAATCAACATTAATAATAGAGTCATCTCTATCTAGTCTGAAATCTGTTTGGAAAGCAATCTTACTTTTAACTAGCATTAGTGCTAGCATTATCTAGCATTTACATATGTCCTACTGTGTTGGCTTCTCAACTCCAAATGCTTATTCCAAAGATGACTGACAGGTCAATTGAAATCCATTTTTTGGCATTTTCACACATGTTTTTCAATGTTCCAGACTTTACATTGGAACTTTAGATTGTAATGCAGTTATGCATTTACTGAATTGCACTACAAATGGTCTTGCCTGTTGTGTACCTGATAACAGCGTGCATCTTAAAAAGGGGAAAAGAAGCCCCTTTGAGTGTGAGCATGTTCCTTTGCTACCCAACGGTTAAGTTGATTACAGCTTTAACAGGAATATTAAACAACTTGCTTAAGGCCATTGCTAGCAATTGCATTGCCCATGTAAACTACAAAAATTGGGGCCAGGTTGAATTTTTCCCCAGGAGCCTTAGGAAAGCTATGGCTTTGTGGGGCATCATTATTAAATTGAAAAGAATGTTAGGAAGTTGCCTTAAATTAGATCCTTGAGCCCGTTCAGGGTTTTTTAAAGAAATATTTCACAAACCATTGAGCAATATCTGTATATTTTCTGTTGGCAAACCATGCAGGTTATCTCTCAGCTGTTTATTTTTGCTGGAGGCTCCTGGCTGGCTGGATGCCTGTTTTTCTGTACCTCCAGTTTTTAAAGCTCCCTCTGCCATCAACATCTAGCAAGAGGCACGTAACAGCCATTTTTCCCCCTCAAGTTGATGCCAGGCAATTTCTCTCTGAACTTGGCATGAACTGATTTAAACAAAAATACAACACCACCCTGGGAGTTACCATAAATGCTTTGCTGAAAGAGGGTATTCATCTTCTGAAGCTGCTTTAGACATTCCCTATTTTGTCTCTGAAAGAACCTGATGCAGGAAAAACAGGAGAAGAAAGGCTGCAAAAGCCGAGTTTAATTCCTCCTATATCTTTCTGGGCAGATGCCAAATCAAACTTCTGCAAATGATGGTTAGCAGCAAAGCAGAAGCAAAAAACTTGTAAAAACTTGCATAGCAAAGACATGTGCGATGTTCAGAGGGCACGATAGTATGACAAGGTTAGATACAGATGTGCTTCATTGTATTCCTGACTTCTCCCCACTATACTGGATTGTTTAAGGCTATTGTATTATCATCCCTTGCTAGCCAGAAACAAGAATGGGAACAATACACCTTAAATAAGTGTATTCAAACTTATTTAATTAAGTTATGCTATACTGGCTGTGGGCAAGCAAGCTAACTGAATGAGAAAAAATGCCAAAGATCTAGTTGATTCAATCAGCTATCTTCAATGAATAAATAAGTTGCCATGTCATCTGAACCACATCTATCATAGCGATGTAAAAATCAGTTGTTCTTCCTTGGCAATGCATTCCATTAAAGATCCTCAGATACCCGAAATCAAATCTCGCAGATTTTGGAGTATAAAAGCTGTTTGTTATGTGCTATGGATTGGGCCTTTTCAACAGTTCCTATTTAGGAAAATGTGGCGAGATGCAGTCGGAGATAGCTAACCTACATCAGCTGTTTGTTTCCACTTGAACAAAATATGTAAATGGATTTCATTTTTTGATCAGATTTGGGAGATCCAAGGGCATGCTTCGGCAGAAAATAACTCTTATCCATGCCATACTTTGCACCAGCACTATGAGGTGAGGCTTGCCAAATAATTTTTTCCAGTGAATTTTGTCCAGGTGCTAGCATGGTCACTCCATTTTGTGCTTTTTAAGAAATATATAAATAGTATGTTTAAAAAAAAAAAGATTCTGTGATGTGTTTCTTATGTAGTTAATATTTTGTGGGGAAAAGGGAAGTAAACTAATTTATAAAATGTGGGAGATTCTTTGTGTATCTTCATGAATACAGTTTCTTTTGACAAAAGGACATTCAATAAATGTATTTTTCTCTACCAGTATGCTGGTGTTTCAGTGTATGATGTTGGACTAGATCAGGGATCCCCAAACTCTTCAGATCATCAATCCCTTCATGAAGTTTCAGATTATTCATTAATCCCAAACATTTATTATATGGAAATGATTTTATGAATATTAGTACTATGAATAATAACAACTTTGGATAGTCCATCAACACTTGGGAAACCCTGCACTAGATAATCCCTGACACTTTGCCCGTTATTTTCCCCACTTTCTTCGAGAGCTCAGGATTCACTCAGGTCAACAAACCTTTTAATTCCTGGGAGAGGGGGGAGTGGAAATTCCTGTGTTAATGTTGGTAATCCAAAAAAAACGGCAAGCTAAAGCCTATTTTAGAAGAGTCTTTTTTAATTGTGGGTGGAACTATTGGTTTCACAAAACAAAACAATAAATCTCTCTTCAGTTTTGACAGGCAGCAAATCTAATTCAGAGTTCATGTTTAAAATATTGATTAAGCTGAAGGCAATATTTTAAGAGGAATTTTTCTGTCTCCATTGCAGTCTATGGCCTTTGCCATATTTTCCATTCTAAGCAGTTCAAAGTACTGTATTATTTACCGCCCAAAAGCTGGAGATTTGTAAACTCCCTCTTTTAAACCTACTTTTAGACATTTTCATTCACTATCATCAATTCTAATCCCGGTTCTAATACAATACTACCCAAAATAAAGTAGCTGAAAGCTTTCTTAATTTATTTTTTTCTTTTGGAGTTTTTGCTGTTTACTGCTGTAACTAATTGATAGCTTTCTAACATTTTTACTTTAGTAAGTTCCTTTGTGTTTATCGTCTGGGAATATTTAACTATTGAATAGTTCCACATTTTAAGAATTTGTAGCGTATGAACTGGTGGAAAGTTAGCAAAACTGGAACAAAACATTTTAAAATTAAGCTGTGGAGATCTTTCATTTGATTTCCATTCTCCAATACACAACAATGAAAGCCTACTTGCCTGACAGTGCAGTCATTGTGCGACAGTCACAATACTATGCTCCACTTTGTGTTCATCAATGGACTGGTTCGCTCTTGGTAAGACCTACTGCAAGCAAAAGGGGATATTCAAGTCAGGGTTGAAATGTAAAATATGTTACTACCAGTTCTGTGGGCATGGCTTGGGGGGGGGGGGTAATGTGACTGGGTGGGCGTAGCCAACTTTTTTTTTTTTTTTTACTTTTCAAAGCATTTTTTCTAATGCTTTGAAAAGCATCTGGCGATCAGGCAACTCAGCTGGGATTGTCAGAGAGGCTTTTTTAAAAATGCTTTGAAAAGTCTCTCTTCTGATCAGGCAACTCAGCTGGAATTGTCAGAGACTTTTCAAAGCGTTTTTTTAACCACCTCTTCGGCCAAGAGGTTGCAGTTTCAAAAATGCTTTGAAAAGCCTCTGAGGATCCCAGCTGAGCCGCACGATCATCAGAGGCTTTTTTTTTTACTTTTAAAAGCATTTTTTCATCGGAAAAGGTTGTAGAAAAAATGCTTTTAAAAGTAAATTTTAAAAAAAAGCCTCTGATGATCATGCGACTTAGCTGAGCATGGGGGGGGGTTTGCAGGGATTTTTGCTACCGGTTCTCTGAACCACCCACTGCCATCGCTACCGGATCAGGCAATCCGGTCCGAACCAGGAACACTTCACCCCTGATTCAAGTTCTATTAAACCTGGAATCAACATGAATGATTCATACCCTAAATAAATTTCCTTCATCTTCCTCAGATCTCTGTGCAGTAATACACCTTCTCAACTGAAAATCTTAAAAGTGCCATTTTTGCCATTGGCTAAATAATATATGCTTAGCAGAATATGTATATTAAACTTGGAATTAACATGAATGATCACATACTGACACTTGCCAGTTGGGATTTCTTGAGCAACTATGGATTAATGGGCAATCAGTGCATCTGCTCTAAATTGTGAATTATTATTTTTTTAGATTTTTATGCCACTTTTTTCATATACAATTCAAGGTAGGAAACATACCAATACTCCTTTCTTTTCTTACTTTTCCCACAACAGCAACTAAGTGAGATGGGTTGGGCTGAAAAAAAAAATGACTGGGCCAAAGTCACTCAGCCAGTTTTTCATGCCTAGAACATATCTCCTGGAATGAGAACATATCTCCTGGTTTCTAGGCAAGCACCTTCTAGCTCCTGTACATTATATGTCAATAAGAAACTAACTTTTTTTTTTTGGTCCTTCATAGATTGGGCGCAAAAGCTTTAGATAAGGCAAGGACTGATATTATATCCCCAGGTTTGGGAGCACCAGCTTTAGTTACACTATTTTTTAAAAATTGCATTTTGTTTTTGCAGAACGATCCCAAACTCTTAGGTAAACTAAACCAGAGGGGGGGAAAAAGATGCAAGCCAACTCCTGTATTTTGAGGAGCTTTTAATAGCAAATGTTCTTTGCTTTTAAAAAACTGCAAATCTTAAATTACAAAATAACTTAGATGGACAAATAATGACCCTCCCTACATTGTTAGGTTGGAACTTAAATCATGCCTAGCCTATTTGTAGTGTTGGGGTCCACAGGAGACCAAGTCAGGCAGAGAACGAGGCTACTAACTCACTTTAAATAGACAACTCCAACATGACATGCCTCCCTCCTTGCTTTTTTGGGCTCGGCTATGGGTGGGGAATCAGATTATATACATGGCAATATTTGCAGATTTCTTAACTTGCACATATAAGTTATGAACACCTGGGAACACAATACAGACTTAGTCATTACACCTTACGCAAGGAGTGATTAGGTTCATCCCCGTGGTGAAAGCCAATTTTTTTTACTAATGGTTCTGTGGGTGTGGCTTGATGGGTGTGGCAGGGGAAGGATACTGCAAAATCCCCATTCCCACCCCACTCTGGGGGCCAGCCAGAGGAGTATTTGCCGGTTCTCCGAACTACTCAAAATTTCCGCTGCCGGTTCTCCAGAACCTGTCAGAATCTGCTGGATTTCACCCGTTTCATCCAGAAGACCTGAAAAGTGAGGTCTTGGACTGAGGGGGCAAAGCTAAAGCTACAGGCTTGCCTTGACTGCACTGATTGGAATGTTTTCGAAGATACTTCTGCAGACTTGGATGAACTCCCAGATACTTTAACGTCATATGTCAGTTTTTGTGAAGACCTATGTGTGCCAACCAGAAACCTGCGAATATACAATAACAACAAACCCTGGTTCACAGCTAAACTTAAGCAGCTATGTCATCCCAAAGAGGAAGCCTACAGAAAATTCTGTACAATTAGGCCAGAAACGTATTAATAAGGGAGATTGGAGCAGCAAAAAGAAGCTACTCTGAAAAGCTAAGGAATCAGTTCTCAACAAACGAACCAGCAAACATGTGGAAAACTCTTTAAAATATCACGGTTACAGCAAACCTCCTTCCCATGCTGAAGGACATCGACAACCGGCAGATGACTTGAATGTGTTTTACTGTAGGTTTGAGAGGAAACTACTGCCACCTATCTCCACAATCCGCATCTCAGACACACCAACAACAGCCAGGCCTCCTACAACTGATCCCATCCCATTAGGTCCCCCACCTCTGTTGATTGCAGAAAATGATATGCAAGGTCTATTTCACAGACAAAAGCAGGAAAAGCGCCAGGCCCAGACAAGATAACTCCTTCTTGCTTAAGAGCTTGTGCTGACCAACTGGCCCCCATTTTCACCCGCATCTTTAAAAATCACTAGAGGTGTGCTATGTTCCTTCTTGCTTCAAATGCTCTACTATCATCCCAAAGTCATAGAAACCGTCCATCAAGGAACTGAACGACTTCAGACCGGTTGCTCTAACAACTGTAGTTATGAAAATCTTTGAAAGGCTAGTGCTGGCCCACCTGAAAACCATCATGGATCTGCTGTTAGACCCTTGCAATTTGCCTACTGAGCAAATAGATCGGCAGATGATGCTGTTAATATGGCTCTGCACCAGGGGTGAAATGCTCCCAGTTCGGACCAGATCGCCCAATCCGGTAGCAATGGTGACGGGTGGTTTGGAGAACCGGTAGCAAACATCCCTGCACCCCCCCATGCCCAGCTAAGCTGCGCAATCATCAGAGGCTTTTAAAAAAAATTTTTTTAAAGCATTTTTTTCTACAACCTTTTCCGCAAAAAAATGCTTCTAGAAGTAAAAAAAAAAAGTCTCTGATGATTGCGCTGCTCAGCTGGGATCGTCAGAGGCTTTGAAAAGGAGCCTGAGTGGCGTAGGAGACTAATGCCTCCTAAGTCAGCATTTAACATCCAGCTGCCTGCAATTACTGCGAGTTCAATTCTCACCAGGCTCAAGGTCGACTCAGCCTTCCATCCTTTCTAAGGTGGGTAAATTGAGGACTCAGTTTGTGGGGGAAATAAGCTGACTTTGTATAAATATACAAAAGTATGAAGGCTATTGCTTAACACATTGTAAGCCGCCCTGAGTCTCCAGAGAAGGGCGGCATATAAATCAATTTTTTTTAAAAAAGCATTTTTTTACAACCTCTTCAGCCGAAGAGGTTGCAGAAAAAATGGTTTTAAAAGAAAAAAAAAAAGTTGCCCACGCCCACGCAGTCACATTACCCCACCACCACCAAGCCACACCCACAGAACCGGTAGTAACAAATTTTACATTTCACCACTGCTCTGCACTATATCCTACAACAGCTTGAATCCCCAAAGACCTATGCAAGGGTCCTCTTTGTAGACTTCAACTCAGCATTGAATACCATCATTCCAGATATTCTTCTACCTAAACTAAATCAGCTAGCTGTGCCTGACCACACTTGTAAGTGGATCATAAGCTTCCTAACAGACAGAAAGCAGCAGGTGAAGCTAGGCAAAATTACATCAGATACCTGTACAATTAGCACAGTGCCCCCCTCTCCACTTCTCTCTATATACCAATGCCTACATCTCAAAAGACCCTTCTGTTAGTTTGCAGATGATACAACAGTGATTGAATCTCCATACAGATGGAAGGTTGAACAATCTTGAACTAAACACACTCAAAACCGTAAAAATGGTGGTAGATTTTAGGAGAAAGCCTCCTATACTACCACCTTCTTACAATACTAGACAACACAGTATCAACAGTAGAGATCTTCAAGTTTGTAGGTTCTATCATATGTCAAGACTTAAAAGAGACACCAAACATCAAAAACGTCATCAAAAAATAATGTTCTTTTTCCGCCAACAATTGTCCTCACTGTTAGGAAGTTTCTCCTTAATTCCAGGTTGCTTCTCTCCTCGATTAGTTTCCATCCATTGCTTCTTATCCTCCCTTCGGTGCTTTGGAGAATAATTTGACCCCCTCTTCTTTGTGGCAGCCCTTCAAATACTGGAATTCTGCTATCAGGTTGCCCAAGGAGCTGCTGATTAACAGTTCTACAGAGGAATTATTGAGTCTGTCATTTGCACCTCAATAACTGTCTGGTTTGGCTCTGCAACCCAACAGGACAGACACAGACTTCAACGGATAATTAGAACTGCAGAAAAAACAACTGCTACCAACCTGCCTTCCATTGAGGACCTGTATACTGCACGAGTCAAAAAGAGGGCTGTGAAAATATTTACAGACCCCTCACATCCTGGACATAAACTGTTTCAACTCCTACCCTCAAAACGACGCTATAGGGCACTGCACATCATAACAACTAGACACAAGGACAGTTTTTCCCCTCCATCAAGTCTATGTGGGACCTGGAGACAGACTTGGAAAAATTGTAGCAGCAGGTGATATGTTTTGCAGCATATCACAGTTTCCATTTAGAATAAAATAGAATAGAGCTGGAAGGGGCCTTGGAGGTCTTCTAGTCCAGCCCCCTACTCAAGCAGGAGAAACTATACTATTTCAGATAAGTAACTGCCCAGTGACTGATGGAGCACTCATGATTTCTGAAGGCAAGCTGTTCCACTGTTTAATTGTCGTCACTGTTAGGAAGTTTCTCCTTAATTCCAAGTTGCTTCTCTCCTCGATTAGTTTCCACCCATTGCTTCTTGTCCTCCCTTCAGGTGCTTTGGAGAATAATTTGACCCCCTCTTCTTTGTGGCAGCCCTTCAAATCCTGGAATTCTGCTATCAGGTCGCCCATAATTTTTCTTTTTTAATTTTTGTAATTTTTCTATTACAAATATTATTTTTTCAGGTAGAAATCTTTTTTAAGAAGTTGAAGCCAGCAGCCGTTCTACCGAGGCGCATAGGAGTCATCTATGGGCATGTTTGTGACCTTAAAGGTATGGGATCGCTTCCAAACGCCTCAGGGCTTGTAGTTGCTTTCGAGAAAACGTGTTTCCAAGGTCCCATAAACATTTCCAAGGCTCCCTTAATCTCTAACGTCGATCTCGAGAACATGCTTCAAAGGTCTCAACAACTTTACAACCTCCCTTAATCTCTAAGGCCGATCTTGACTCCAAAGGCGGTTAATCTTTAAAAGGATGTGGGGCGATGGCAGAACACACCCGTCTGCAAAAGGGGCCGGGAAGCAAACAAGCTACTAACTAGACTCTAGTAACTATAGGGCCGTGCCTCTCCCAGCAGGTTGGTAATTGGATCGCTTTAACGGGCGGCTTTGCGAAGAAGAGGTTATACAAGAATTTAAACGGCTGTCAGCCAACTCGTCTCCAAAATCCGAGCAGTCGACCGAAAGGAGAAGGAAGCGATTCGCTTCGGGAATTTGCGCAATAGGATTTGTTTCGGGCTGCCGCTCAGGTGAGTGAGTCGATTGGGCTGTCGGGGATCCGGGTGAGCGGCGGACTGGAGCAATAGAAATCCTCAGATTAACAGAACGGGAAGGGAACCTGTAGGTCATCTAGTCCAACCCTCAGCCCAGGCAGAGACAGGCGATCTTTCGTTGCATTTGGGTTTTGCACGCTACCCGTGTTAAGAAGATCGGGGTGGGTTTTTTTAAAAAAAATAACGGCAGAAATCAAAAGTCTGGGTTTGTCGCCCGAGAGGACTCGGAAACAGCTTCGTGGCTGTTTTGTAGAACAAATGATTGGCCGATTCATGTAGGTATTTACACACCCACACACCCACACACACACTGCTCTTTTCAGAGTTTGGAAATTTATGCAGAAATTTAGGGTAAAGGCGCCACGCGGTTTCAGAGCGATGCTGCCCTGCATATTTATTTGTAATGGAATCACTATCATTATTAGCGAGATTATACAGATTAACAGAGTTGGAAGGGACCTTGTAGGTCATCTAGTCCAACCCCCACCCCGAGCAAGAGATCCTACACTAATTCTGACAGACGATATTGCTTTCATTTGGGAAGTCCTGTGGCAGGTGATTATTTTATTTTATTTTATTTATTTATTGGTTCGATTTATATGCCGCCCTTTTCCAGAGACTCAAGGCGGCTTACAGTGCGTTAAGCAATAGCCTTCATACTTTTGTATATACCTGCTTAGTAGGGGTTTTGGGCCCCCCCAAGCGGTGTTCTTTTTTATACAAAGTCATCTTATTGCCCCCACAATCCGGGTCCTCATTTTATCTATCTCGGAAGGATGGAAGGCTGAGTCAACCTTGAGCCTGGTGAGATTTGAACTGGTAGTAATTGCAGGCAGTTGGCAGCTAAGTGCTACTTAACAGCACTTTAATCCGCTGCACCACCAAGGCTCATTTTAAATATGTCGGGCTAATATGTCGGATTAAATATGTCTGGCTAAGTAACTGAAATGCAGGAGGTAAATTTATCAAAGGTTGGGGTCAAGTGATGGATAGAAATGCTCAAAAATGTATGTATGGAGGTGGGGGGAGTTTGAAAACCAATTACCTGCACTATGAAAATAAAGGCCAATGCAGTATTGCAGTGGGAAAACATCACATGAACTTTAAATTAGGGAGCAATTTCTAAGTCATTATACCTGGTGATGCCAGTTTGCTTCATTTCAGTCCCACAACAGAGTATGTTTCAAGATGAAAGGCCTTAAAAAAGATTTCATTAAAGTCCCACTGAATTCAGAGGGGGCTGACCCTTATGGGAGTTGGATATAGGATTGCAACCTAAACTGGAAAAAGGTAAGCAAGTATTAAAAGGAACAAAATCTAGGAGAAATAACTGTGGAAATTAACGTTGAGTTTGCATATTATAGTAAACTGCAGATTAACTTTTGATTTTTAACTTTAAAAAAAAAAAGAATTGTATTTTAACTTTTTGAATAAAATAAAATAGACTGTAGATTAACCATGGTTCATTGAGTATGCCACAAATTCGCTTGATTCACAAATCACACTAAGCCATGAGTACAAAAAAAACATAGCTGTGGTCACAGAATGCTAATCTAAATTTAAAAAAAAACATATTTCTATTAACATGGTTATGTTCAAATCATGATTTATGACGTGACTTAACACACTTGGAGTTACTCATGGAGGAACTGTTTCATGTGAGCTCCACCACCTTATTTCTCTCTAATTTCTCTTCATCAAAGTGACTTTTCATGTGCTGGAAAACAATGTTGGGCATGGAGTCGCATGCAGTCATATGAATATATTGCCCAGAGATTTCATATGCTTTGAAGAAAAATCAGACAATGAACTAATAGGATAGGATAGGATAGCTTTTATTGTCATTGTACATAATATATACAACAAAATTGGTTTAGCCTCCCTGGTGCAATCCATAACAAAAAATACAAAATACAACATTACCCGTATTTTAGACTATAAGACTAGAGATAAGCACCAAAATTCGCAGGAGTATAAGATGCACCAAAATTTCGAAGAATATACAAGAAAAAAAAAGGTTTTTCCCTCCTTGGCCCCCATGAGCACTCTGCAGGCCTCCCAAACCCACTGCGCGTCCTGTTTTTCGCAAAAACGAGGCCTGCAGAGGGCTTGGGAGGCTCCTGGGGCTGGGGAGGACGAAAAAAGGACACGGGGGTTTGGGAGGCCAAAAACGGGCCCATTTTTCCCAAAAATGGAGTCTGCAGAGGATTTCGAAGGCCTGCAAAGTGTTCCTGGGGACTGGGGAGGGCAAAAACACCCCTGTTTTTGCAAAAAACGGGCCTGTTTTTGGCCTCCCAAACCCCCCACGTGTCATGTTTTTGCCTCCCCGGCCCCCAGGAGCACTCTGCAGGCCTCCCAAGCCCTCTGTACATCCCATTTTTGGGAAAAACGGGCTTGTTTTTGGTAAAAACAGGACACAAGGGGCGGGGTTTCAGGATGCCAAAAATGGCTGTATTTGGGTATAAGATGCACCAACATTTCCACCCTCTTTTAGGGGGAGGGGGAAACTGTGTCTTATACTATGAAAAATACGGTAAATAGTATAGAGAATAATACCTATACAAGTAGAGTAATATCTATACAAGTAATTGGGGAAGAAAGACTAGTCATACGTTTCTGTATGTTCGTGGAGTGATTGTGATTGTGTTTAAGAGTTTTGATAGCCCTTGGGTAGAAGCAGTTTTTAAACCTTTTGGCTGGCTGCCTATGCTTTGATGTCTTCTGCCCAATGGTAGAAGTGAAAAGAGACACTGCCCAGGGTGTGAATCATCCCCAAGTATCTTCCTTACTCTGCTAAAGCAGCGAAACCTGGCAATGTAATCTAGTGGTTTTAGAGGGCAACCGATGGTTTCTTGTGCCGAATTGATCACTCTCTGTAGTGCCTTCATGTCCGCAGCTGTTAGACCAGCATACCATACTGTCCACACAGTATGTGAGGACACTTTCTGTCGTAGACCGATAGAAAGAATTCATCAGCCGTTGTTCCACCTGATTTTTCCGCAGGATTCTGAGGAAATGAAGTCTCTGTTGAGCCTTACTAACCACCAGGGACTAATGTTTCTGAGGCTGTCACTAATATACATGCAAGCATGGGATTAAATGTACTTGAGCTTTTCATTTTATCAGCTCTAACTGTATACAAGTAGTCCTCAATTCATGAGCACAACTGAGCCCAAAATTTATGTCGCTAAGTGAGAAATTTACTTAGTGAGTTTTGCCCCATTTTACAACGTTACTTGCTACAGTTGTTAAGTGAATCACTGCTATTGTTAAGTTAGTAACATGGTTGTTGAGTGAATCTGGTTTCCCCATTGTCTTTGCCTGTCAGAAAGTCACAAAAGGTGATCGCATGACCCTGGGACACTGCAACTGTCATAAATGTGAGTCAGTTGTCAAGCATCCGAATGTAAATCACATGACCATGAGGATGCTGCGACGGTCATACGTGTGAAATGTGGTCGTAAATTACTTTTTTCAGTGCTGCTGTAACTTGAACGGTCACTAAGCGAATTGTTGTAAGTCGAGGACTTACATTTGTGGAGATAGGTAGCAGTAGTTTCCTCTCAAACCTACAGTAAAACACATTCAGGTCATCTGCCGGTTGTCGATGTCCTTCAGCATGGGAAGGAGGTTTGCTGTATTCGATGATATTTTAAAGAGTTTTCCACATGTTTGCTGGTTCGTTTGTTGAGAACTGATTCCTTAGCTTTTCAGAGTAGCTTCTTTTTGCTGCCCTGATCTCCCTTGTTAATACATTTCTGGCCTGATTGTACAGAATTTTCTGTAGGCTTCCTCTTTGGGACGACATAGCTGCTTAGGTTTAGCTGTGAACCAAGGTTTGTTGTTATTGCATATTCACAGGTTTCTGGTTGGCACACATAGGTCTTCACAAAAACTGACATATGACGTTAAAGTATCTGGGAGTTCATCCAAGTCTGCAGAGGTATCTTCGAAAACATTCCAATCAGTGCAGTCAAGGCAAGCCTGTAGCTTTAGCTTTGCCTCCTCAGTCCAAGACCTCACTTTTCAGGTCTTCTGGATGAAACGGGTGAAATCCAGCAGATTCTGACAGGTTCTGGAGAACTGGTAGTGGAAAGTTTGAGCAGTTTGGAGAACTGGCAGCAGAAATTTTGAGTAGTTTGGAGAACTGGCAAATACCTCCTCTGGCTGGCCCCCAGAGTGGGGTGGGAATGGGGATTTTGCAGTATCCTTCTGCCACAGCCACCAAGCCACACCCACAGAACCATTAGTAAAAAAAATTGGCTTTCACCACTGGGATGAACCTAATCACTCCTTGCGTAAGGTGTAATGACTAAGTCTGTATTGTGTTCCCAGGTGTTCATAACTTATATGTGCAAGTTAAGAAATCTGCAAATATTGCCACATATATAATCTGATTCCCCACCCATAGCCAAGCCCAAAAAAGCAAGGAGGGAGGCATTTCATGTTGGAGTTGTCTATTTAAAGTGAGTTAGTAGCCCCGTTCTCTGCCTGACTTGGTCTCCTGTGGACCCCAACACTACAAATAGGCTAGGCATGATTTAAGTTCCAACCTAACAATGTAGGGAGGGTCATTATTTGTCCATCTAAGTTATTTTGTAATTTAAGATTTGCATTTTTTTAAAAGCAAAGAACATTTGCTATTAAAAGCTCCTTAAAATACAGGAGTTGGCTTGCATCTTTTTTCTTCCCTCTGGTCTAGTTTACCTAAGAGTTTGGGATCTTTCTGCAAAAATAAAATGCAATTTTTAAAAAATAGTGTAACTAAAGCTGGTGCTCCTAAACCCGGGGATATAATATCAGTCCTTGCCTTATCTAAAGCTTATCTAAAGCTTTTGCGTCCAATCTATGAAGGACTAAAAGATCCGGTCCGAACCGGGAGCATTTCACCCCTAGTTTAAAGTAATATTAGAATTGTCATTGCTTATCCTCCTTATGAACAGGCTGGGAAATCACTGGGAGCAATGGGATTCGATACTACCACTGGCAAGTGCAAAGAGACTACATATCTTTTTTTGGAAAAGATTCTCTTTATTGTTATGTCTGAATAAGGAAGGGCATGTGTTATGAATTGGATTGTTTTTTGCCTACATTGAGGACATCTATTGTTCTAGAACTAATAAAACAAATCTGGGATTTTCTCAGTTTCTAAGTGAAAGGTATTGCCAGCTTTGGCCAGGAGAAAAATAATTCTTCGGAATCTAAACTTCAGGAAATCACTGCACTAAAGGAAAGGCAAAAGCCATGGTGGTGCAGGGTTAGAATGCAGTATTGCAGGCTGACTCTGCCCACTGCCTGCAATTCGATTCTCTCTGGCTCAAGGTTGACTCAGCTTTCTGTTCTTTCGAGCTTGGTAAAATGAGGAGCCCGATTGTTGGGGACAAGATGCTGACCCCGTAAACCTCTTAGAGAAAGCTGTAAAGCACTGTGAAGTGGTACATAAATCTTAGTGCTATTGCCATTGCTTTAAAGTTGCCAAATTCTTATTTAATCATTCAGGTTGTGGACAATGATGAGGGCAAAGACTTGGATTCTGAAGAAGCATTTTGAAGGGCTTCCTAAGCAGAGTGACTTTGAATTAATAGAGATAAACCTACCAGATCTAAACGATGGAGGTAAGAGGAATCATTTGATTGTGTATTTGTATTACTTGTTCCCCATGTCAACAACCTTTGTCCTACTGTTTTTTTTTAAAATGATGATTCCTGCCCCAAGCATATCTTGCAGAAAATATTCAATATATTACACTAAGAAATTGCTTTGAGAAATTGCATTATGAGAAGTGCCTTCAAAGATATTAATTTAGGGGGCAGAAGATAAATCCTGAAAATTAATATATGACTAGTGACTTTTTTTTTTAAAGTTCACAAATGAATGTGTGTTCTGCCCCAGCTACGGACCCCAAAGAACGCAGTACACACAAAGTCTGTACAAACCTTAGTTTACTAAAATAAAATCAGTTTTTCAAACAAAGACTGTTAATTAACTTTCTTAACAGCCTGCAAGAATCCAAAGAATAGATAATCTTAATCTTAGTATGGTTGGCAGAAAGCCCAGAAGCAATTTACAGAGAACTAAGTTCAAGGCACGAAGGGGAGTGAACGGTTGTTCTCTGCAAATTGCTTCAGTCAGCATTCCTCCTTAAATAGGCTAAGGGAGTGGCCAATGAGCCCCAAGCCTTACTCTTGAGGAGACCTCCTCCTGAGGAGCCACTCCTGCCTTTTGGCAACTCTGTGTGCCCGTGCATTGAGAAGAGGCTCCTCCTCTTCGTCCTCTTCACTTAAGGGAGCTTCTGGAGGTTCTGAAGGCCCTGGCTGAATCCCCGCCTCTGGCACCACATCCTCTTCAGCCTCCTCATTGTCCGACTCGAGTGCCAGCTGCACAGGCTGCTGGCACAGCACCTCACCAGCCTCCTCGCTGTCCGAATCAGCCACCAGCCACATAGGCTGTGTACTGACCACAACAATGTGGAAACAGTACAAATGAAGTCAAGATTGGAAAGTGAGAAACTGTATCATTGAAAGCTGATTAATTAAATCATGGACCAAGAATGTTTGGATATGACTATATAAAATGAAAGACTTTTTTCAGTGTTGAGTTGCTGAATTTAGAAAATACGTTTTTGAAGTGACCTGCTCTTACATAATTTGGCCAGAAAAATTAATTGAGGAAAGCATTACACAACTTAGATGAAAAGAACGCTGTCGAACATGCTTTATTATCTATTCATCCAACTCCAAAATTTCTAGGTTTTTTTGCTCTCCATCCCAGTCCTCTAAATTGAATGAATAAACAAATAAAACAAATATTTTGAAATGTGTAATTCCTTGCTATTCCCACTTCTTTATTGGTATAATGTATTTCCATTTCTTACTTATTTTCTCTTAACGCATATAACAATAAGAATTTTAACAGAAACATAGTATAAAACTACAGATTTTGTATAATTGGTAAAATGGCATCGGATAAACTCTTTCCCTCATGCACATAGTTTGCATTTCCAGACTAATGCACTTCTCCGGTTTTCTGTCCACTCCTTCCTGGTTTCTTTTAAAAGAAAACAGAAGATAATCAAACGGTAGTTCTCTCTCCAGTAGTATATTAGCTTGATCTTTCATAATCTTTTCTTCTGTGTTTCAGAGATGCTGCTTGAAAGTGTGTTTCTCAGTGTTGACCCCTATATGAGGTACTACTGTTTGTTTGACTTTGTGTTTCAATACTAAAACCCCAGTTTATTCTGACATTTAATTTAATTAATTTAATTAATTAAATTTATATGCTGCCCCTCTCCGAAGACCAAGGGCGGTTCACAATATATTTTAAAAAATCATTATAAAAAAACATTGAAAAATTAAAAACATTAAAAACTCGTTCACACCATTCATGGCCGGATCTCGCCAGATCACAAGAGCGAGATTAACGGCCCCAGGCCTGCCGGAAAAGCCAGGTCTTCACCGCTTTTTGGAAGACCAATAGGGTGTGGATGGTCCGGACCTGAGGAGGTAACTGGTTCCAGAAAGCTGGAGCAGCCACAGAGAAGGCCCTCCCCCGCGGGCCCACCAGCCGGCATTGTTTAGTTGACGGGACCCGGAGGAGACCAACTCTGTGGGATCTTACCGGTCACTGGGAGCTATGCGGCAGAAGGTGGTCTCGAAGATAACCTGGCCCTGAGCCATGTAGGGCTTTAAAGGTAATAACCAACACCTTGAATTGTGACCGGAGACCAATAGGGAGCCAGTGCAGCTCGCAGAGAATTTGTGTAATGTGGGTGTAACTAGGTGCACCCACGACGGCTCGCGCGGCTGCGTTCTGGACCAACTGCAGTCTCCGAACACTTTTCAAGGGTAGCCCCATGTAGAGCACATTGCAATAATCTAACCATGAGGTGACAAGGGCATGAGTGACTGTGAAGAGAGCCTCCCGATCCAAGTAGGGTCACAATTGGTGCACCAGGCGAACCTGTGCAAAGATCCCCGTAGCCACAGCTGTCAGATGTTGCTCTAATCTTAGCTTTGAGTCTAGGAGGACACCCAAATTTCTCCCCCCCCACAGAACCAATTGACCTTTCTCCTAATTTACCAATTATTTAGCCATCTCTCAACAGCCTTTTGAGCCACTGAGTGATGGCTCAGTGGCTAAGATGCTGAGCTTGTCGATCGAAAGGTCAGCAGTTCTGTGGTTCGAATACCTAGTGCCACATAATGGGGTCAGCTCCTGTTACTTGTTCCAGCTTCTGCCAACCTAGCAGTTCGAAAGCACGTAAAAAAATGCAAGTAGAAAAATAGGGACCACCTTTGGTGGGAAGGTAACAGTGTTCTGTGTGCCTTTGGCATTTAGTCATGCCAGCCACATGACCACGGTGACTTCTTTGGACAGCGCTGGCTCTTCGCCTTTGAAACAGAGATGAGCACCGCCCCCTAGAGTCGGGAATGACTAGAACAAATGTGCGAGGGGAACCTTTACCTTTACTTTTTCTGTGGGCGTGGCTTGGTGGGCATGGCAGCAGTGATGGGTTCCTCCCAGTTTGGCCCGGTTTGGCCAAGCTGGTAGCGGTGACGATATGATGTCACCGAATCGGTTCTCTTTGTTTGGGAGCTGGGCCCTCCCGCCCCGTCCGCGTTATTCTTATCTTTTATTTGGCCCCGCCCCCAATCTATTCGCTGCCTCCCGACTCCCAGCTGATGGCTAGAAGGAAAAAAACTGTTTAAACTCTTGCCACAGGGCTTCAAAGGGCTGCCCTACAGCTGATCAGTGTTAAAAGGCAGTGTGGTGATAGACCGGGACGGTCAAAAAACAAATGGGTAGACCAGGACACTCCAAGAACAAATGGGTAGACTGGTACAGTTCTGCAAGCAGTTAAAAGCCTGGTAGACCAGTACCTCTGCTAAATCCTAAAGAATTATCACATGACCATCAAACCACCCCCACAAAATAAGCCACGCCCACAGAACCAGTAGTAAAAAAAATTTGAACCCATCCCTGCATGGCAGGGTAAGGATACTACAAAATCCCCATTCTCTCCCCACTCCTGGGGAAGGATATTACAAACTTTCCATTCCCACCCCACTCTGGGGCCAGCAGAGGTGGTATTTGCTGGTTCTCTGAACTACTCAAAATTTCTGCTACCGGTTCATCTCTGCTGAATTTCACCCCTGCTTGTAGGCAGATCCCTTTGTTTCTACATTAATCTGGCAAGCCAATCATTTTAGATAGGCCTTGATCTATTCCTTTTTCTAACACTTGCAAGTAAGCCATCATCATTACTGAGTATAAAGTAGACTTCTCTGCAGTTTGACCAGCCCTTCTCTTCATGTTACACCAGAATTTGATGTCCTGATCTACTGCTTAGAGCGATTCTAAGCAACTAAACACGCATATATGTATGAATGTATGTATATGTGTGTGTGTGTTTAGTTGCTTAGAATAGCTGTAAGCCAGTGATGGTTAACGTTTTTGCCATCGTATGCCAGGACCGGGGGGGGGGGTGTTGCGCGCGTGTGTGTGTGCGCACACCCCATAATTTTATGCACCTTGCTCCCGCACATGCACGGGTGACACACACACACACCCCGCTTCCCCTACTCCTGGCACGCGATGGCACGGTAGGCCCGTTTTTTGCTTTCCCCAGACTCCAGAGCCTTTCTAGGAGTCTGGGGAGGACAAAAACAGCCTCCCTCCTCCCAGGCCCTCCGGAGGCCGAAAACGGCCCGTTTGCCAACTTCCGGTTCCACTGGAGCTGAGCTCGCGTGCCCACTGATATGGCGTGCCATAGGTTCACCATAACGGCTCTTAAGAAGTAGATCGGGACATCTGATTCTGGTGTGTGTGTGTAGGTTGGACAATAGGTCAGTATAATTACTTCTGCTCCTCTGGATCATCATATTCCCATGCAAGCAGAGATAGGATAGATAGCACTTGTTTGCTGCAATGGGCTTTGGCCCAAGTCCATCTGGACTTCCTTAAGAGAATAATTGCTATCACCCCAAATACAAGAAAGAAATGCTATTATTAGATATGATGGATGGCTAAGCCTGCTGTTCTAGCCAAAGCAAATTATATTGGCATATTTTTGTTGTTTCTCATGGTCTGGAGAATAGAGCATTTAATCATTGTCTGAACACACCAAAAGGCTTTTGATGTAGTGCAAACAGGTACCTACATTGTGTCCTGAAAGAATAACTCCCTCTCCAAATTTGAATTTGTTGTATTAATGTCTAATTATGTATTTTCATGTGACCTAAATAAAAAGTTGCCACAAGAAGTGGCTTATGCTGCCGGATACAAAACATGTCATAAAAACCAGGCTCTGCCCTACCTTCATTGTGAAATGAATTTGACGTGAATCCGAGTTAAATCACATTTATGTCCCTCGGCCCTAACGTGAATTAAGCCTGTCAATCATGCCAGTCATTAATTGGCCCCATGTACAGTAGTGGCCAAAATTGTGGAAACCCTTTGAGAAAAGAGTATTTTCTAAAACTAGCTAATAACACCACCTTTTTTTGGAGGAGTACCGTAAAATTATATATCAATAGAAAAATAATTAAACCAAGAATGTAATGCAATAACGTTTATGAAGGATTTGCTATTAGAATAGCAGTTAAAGTATAAAGAAAAAAACTGAAACACGTAGAAAAAAACGAGATATACAAAAATTATCACCATAGAAAAAAGGGAGATATACAAAAATTATGACATCAGTTAATACTTAGTTGGGTAACCTTTAGCATGAATTACAGCCTTACAATGTCTTCCCATGGGGTGAACCAAGTCTTTTAGTTTTGCAGCTGTTCTAATGTGAAACCAAGATTGAATGATTGCTTCTATTAACTGGGTTTTATTACTGGGTCGCTTCTGACTAACAAGTTTCTTTAGTTGGCTCCATAGATTTTCAAATGGGTTAAGGTCTGGGCTGTTCTCAAGCCATTCCCACAGTGGAATATGATTATCTTGAAACTCCAAAAAAAAAAGTGGTGTTATTAGCCATCAAACTTAAAAAAATACACTTTTCCCAAAAGATTTCCACAATTTTGGCCACTACTTTATATCTTTAAACAAAAATGCATACATTGACTTTGCTTTGTTTTTGTTTTGCAGAGTATACAGTAAGAGAATGATGAAGGAAGGGGACACTATGATAGGGTCTCAGGTTGCAAGGTAAGATCTACCTTGATTTATTTCCTGTTCCACCAGCTGCTGGTCTTCCTTTCTTACAGGTGAAGTTATTGGGCATTGGGCAATAAAACGAAAAGTAAAACAACACCCATATTTCAGTGGTGGGTTGCCCCTGGTTCAGACCAGTTTGCAAGAACCGGTATAAAAACCGGCAGGAGGCTCCGCCCACCGACCTGGACATCATCATAGGTGATCTGCACATGCACAGAAGCTTCTATGCATGCACAGAAGCGCACACGCTTCCGATGCGAACCAGTAGTAAAAGTAAATAGAACCCACCCCTGCCACATTTGTATCTGTTTTCTGTTGGAAACAAGTGTGAAATGAATCAAAGAAATTGCACAAGGTCCTCATTAAGGCTTCAATATAAAGAATAGTAAATAATACACAGTCAGTAAAGCCTGCCAATTTGATAGACTTCATGGTTTTGTCCGGATTGAAGAAAACAAATGCATAATTAAGAATATTCAAATGCAGTAAAGCAAGCTGTATTGTTGGAGTTGTTCCAAGGATACCTGAAAAAACATTAACAAAAGATTCGGGGGCGGGGGGGGAATGGTTCCCAGCACAATAAATGTAATAAAATCAAGTTCCGAATGCATGAAAAGTTCTTCACTTGATATTGAAAATATTCCAATTCAGGGATGATGACTGGCTTCTCTTCTGGGGCCTCTTCTCAAATGATGGAAGGAAATGCTGTTTTAGATATTTCAAAGCTATTCAGGACTTTACAGAATAATAGGAATGCTTTGAAATACGGCCAGAATGGTCTCATAGCACTCTCAACATCAAAATTTCCCTGCGATGGTTTAGTGTCAGATTGTGAGTTACACTGCTCCTTCATAGATGTTTAGAAAGAATTATTAAGAACTGGTTATGTTTGCAATTTGTTTGCAAGTTTCTTTGTTGACTAGTATAACGAGGTACCTGTGTTCTTTTCAAAGGATTTTGGAAAGCAGAAATCCTTCATTTCCTGTAGGAACTTTTGTTGTGGCAAATTTGGGCTGGACAACACATTTTATTTCCAATGGCAAAAATCTATTACAACTGCCTCCAAATTGGCCAGAAAGTCTTCCAAGGTCATTGGCTCTTGGAACAATTGGCATGCCAGGGTAAGTGTATCCTAATCATGTACTTGATGGAGGTGATGTGATGGATTGTAACCCAGTCTTAGAATTCTGCTACATGGGACTTGAGCTTGTATTATTTCAAAATTCCCATTATGTTTACTAGCCCTCAAAGTTGAGGAATGTCACCTTCTTCTGTGGTGCTTTTAAAGACATTCTTTGCATGTAACCAGGTTATTCCCATTAGTGGTGAATGTTTGTATTTGAGTCCTATTTGATTTTTATGTTTTGGACATGTCATGGTGTCAGTGTTTAATTACACAAGCTTTTAATTCCTTTTCCTTGCAGTCTTACTGCCTATTTTGGCCTACTTGAGCTCTGCAGGCCCAAACCAGGAGATACGGTCCTAGTTAATTCAGCAGCTGGTGCTGTGGGCAATGTGGTTGGGCAGATTGCTAAAATTAAGGTAAGTGAATGTTTTGGACTTCAATTTCCAACAGGCTGATCAATGGACAAGAATTATGGACAAGAATTATGAAAGCTCTGGTTTGCTTATCTCTGGTCTATTTACCTCCATGTGCTTTGATTGATTGATACTGCAGAGAAGATTCTGCACATAAATACCTCATTTGCAACATGCCCATTTAGTCATGGGATGGGGGATATGATACATGACATCACACATCTCATGATAGCATCACTCATTGATCCCAACTACACTGTATAACCTTCACATCAAAACATTATGATGTGACTTATGCCAATTACATTATTCTCATTTATATAATGTTTTGGGGATATCACTGTGGCTTCTATAGGATGTCTATGCTTTATGTTCATTCTTTGCATCCAGAAAAGTACTCTTTTTAATCGTTATTAAAGGTTACAATTTACAACAATAGAAACTAATACAAAAGAAAAAAGAGAAAATTGAAGATGCAGAAAACAATATGAAAAACAAAAAATCAAAAATATAATAAGAACTACATAAGTGATTTTCCTATTTCAAGATAAGTATAAACAATTTTAGAAACTTATCACCTTCTCTTACACCACAACCATCTCTTCTCAATGTCCCTTCAATATCAATGATCCCTTCAATAATCAATGATCTCTTCTCAATATCCCATCTCTTATTTATAAACAAATCTACAAAATCTCATCATTTTGGCCTTGAGGTTAGCAAAGGTCCATTAATGATTACCAGAGATAACATCCATTTTAACTTTGATTACATAAACAAAATTCCTTCATATTCCTTCCTTTTGCTTCAACACTTTTGATCTTCAGTCCTTTCAGATAATGTCCTAGAACAGGGATGTCAAACTCACATCGTCACGGCGGTGTCACATGACGTATCAGGACTTCTTTTCCCCTTGCTAAATCGGGCGTAGGCGTGGCCAGCGTGTGATGCATCCGGTTCGGAAGCTGGGAGTTTGACAGCCCTGTCTTAGAACATGATTCTTCTTTTCTTTGTCCCTTTCTATAAAATTCTGCAAAACTTTAATAAGCTTCTTGTCAGACATCGATGCTATCTCAAAGTAAATGAATTTCCAAACTGCCAATCTTTAAGGAAATCTTTTCTTTAATTGAGCACAGCCACCGGATCATGACTCGATGCGGACAAGACTGACCTTTTGCCCCCCAATCCCTCCCTTTCCGATCCCCAAATCTCTGCTTCTCATTGGCTATCTTCCAAGTCATTCTTCAGACTTCTTGTCTCGTCATTTCCCAGGAATGTCCCCCCTCCTCATTTCTACGACAACCCGACTTCAAAGGGATTTAGCAGGCAAAAGTTCAGAGCTTATCTCTCTCTCCTCTGCTCTCTATGCCAGCGTTGAAGCGCTGACACTTCTTTTGTAAATTCACTTTGATTATCTATTTTGATTATTAAGACATCATCTGGTGTCTTTTGTATGTCCAGTGTAACATCTTTTTCTATGTCATTCTTGCACCTTGTTGTTTCAAAAATTATTTTCAACTTAGTCTCAATTGTGTCAGGTAACACTTGTTCCATCCATAGTATCTCTTCAATACACTCTCTCCCATAGAGGCAGATATGCCTTTTAGCACTACCAACCTATTTTTATTCTATATGGCTTTGCTGTGTTTTGCTCCAGTGGACAAATTTCATTTAGCTGTGTTTTTATTCTAATTAAGTAATTAGATTATCTGTGGAAGCTTCTTCCATAAAAAGTTGGTGTTATTCTTTTAAGTGTCACTGTGATGGAACGTAGTGATTCCCAGGAGGGAGGGGTTGCATTCCAGAGGAGTAAGAGGCAACTCAACCCAGACATTATGTGTCAGAGAAAGAGGGTGAAGACAGATTCTCCCTAATAGTTCACAGAGTATATTGGAGGTGCAGAAAACAGAACCCTCAGTCTGGCAGGCTTTTTCTATAGGTGTGAAACAATAAAGATGTCAGGCTTCCAAGTAACACCTCCAACAAAAGAAAACTCCGAAGCTTGAATTTCCTCAAAGTTACATTTTATTAGAGATTTCATATTGGCACATCTGGGGAAACCCGAATCTGAAAGCTTCCAGGTTGTCCCCGCCCAAAAGAAAGTTCAAGTCCCTGCCCAACACCCACATGTCCATCACATAGTCCAATCCAAATACCGTCCCAACTGGAGATGCCTCCCAGTTCCAACTGTCCAGGTGCAGGGCAAGATGACCTTGACTTTCTGAGAATGGAATGTTGTTATGACTATATAAAACCCTGGCTCCATACAATCCCCCCTCCCTGTTTCCCACAGTAGTAAATATGGCAGGCCTGAAGGCCCAACGAAAAAGATGGCTTCCAGGCCTGAGAAAAGAATTCAGCTTGGCAGAATTGCAACATGTCATTCTTGGTTTTGTGCCCTACAGCCACGATACTCTCTATGTGATCAATGGGATTTTATTTCTGCTAACATGGCTTTTTGTTTTACTGTATGTCACGCCTTGACCACACCGGAATTATAATTCTTGGGTGTTATTTTAGTTTTTACTTGCTATCTCATTCTTTTTGGATTGGCTTATACTATGGTAAAGTTTCTCTCTCTTGCTCTTTCTCTCACCCCCCTCCCCAGCTATCTCTAATCAATTTAATCCCGTGAATCTAATCCAATCTCTCCTGTCCATCTTTGCCTGCCTGTCATCACTATCTGTTGAAGATGGTTTGTGAACAAACTTGCATAGCCTTGCCAAGGAACCTGGTCCTCATTGTTATTTTTTTTTTAACCGGCAGGGTTGTAAAGTGGTCGGCACTGCGGGTTCCGATAAAAAGTTGGATTACCTTAAGGAGCTTGGCTTTGACGAAGTCTTTAACTATAAGTCGGTGAAATCCCTGGAGCAGGCCCTGAGGGACGCTTCCCCTGACGGCTACGACTGCTATTTTGATAACGTACGTACAAGACGGAGCTCAGCTTTGAACTGGTCTAAGATAGGAAGGGAAGCTGATCTAAGGAACTTCCTGTGTTGAAAGCTGCTTTGGCCCAGGCAAAGAAAAGCAGCCATTCATCTTTAAGTCTCTCCTGCAGTCCCCAAGTCAGGCTTTTTTATATTTTGGGACACCTCTTCTCTTTCCTTGCATTCAGGGCAGTGATGAAATCCAATTTTTTTTACTACCGGTTTTGTGGGCGTGGCTTGGTGGGTGTGGTATGGCTTGGTGGGCGTGGCAGGTGAAGGATACTCCAAAATCTCCATTTCCACCCCACTCTAGGGGAAGGATACTGCAAAATCCCCATTCCCTCCCCACTCCTGGGGCAAGGATATTGCAAAATCTCCATTCCACCCCACTCTGTTGCCAGCCAGAGGTGGCATTTGTCAATTTATTTATTTATTTATTTATTGGTTCGATTTATATGCCGCCCTTTTCCAGAGACTCAGGGCGGCTTACAATGCATTAAGCAATAGCCTTCATACTTTTGTATATTTATTTTATTTATTTATTTTATTTTATTCGGCTTATATGCCACCCTATCTCCCAATGGACTCAGGGTGGCTGACAATAATAAAAACACAAGCCACAATGCAAAATAAAATCTAAAAATTTAAAATTTAACCCTTAAAACCCCCCCATCAGACCTGCTGATATACCTGCTTAGTAGGGCTTTCGTCCCCCCCCTCAAGCGGTGTTCTTTTTTTATACAAAGTCAGCTTATTGCCCCCACAAACCGGGTCCCTCACATGACTGGGGATGCTGCAAAAGTTGTAACTGTGAAAAATGATCATAAATCATTTTATTCAGTGCCGCTGTAACTTTGAGCAGTCACTAAACGAATTGCTATTAGTCAAGGACTACCTGCATACTCTTGAGTCTTAAAGGATTGCCTTACTTTAAATTTGATTAATTGTTTGGTTTTTCTTCTTTCCTAACTAAAAAAAGTTGTTGTTTTTCTGGTTGAATCATTTAGATTGTTGGGATGTGCGTTTAACTGTTTTGAATTTGATACAATTGAAGCCCCAAATGATTGTTTTGTGTTCAAAAAGGGTTGATTTTACCATTCCCAAAGTATTTGACCTTTGACAGTTTTTGTGTGACTATTTCAAACTCAAAACAATTGTTTCAAACTTGAAAAATAGATAGCAATAGCACTTACACTTATGTACTGCTTCACAGTGCTTTTGCAACCCTCTCTAAGCGGTTTACAGAGTCAGCATATTTCCCCCAACCATCTGGGTCCTCATTTTACCCACCTCAGAAGGATGGAAGGCTGAGTCAACCTTGAGCCTGGTGAGATTCGAACTGCCAAATTGCAGTCAGCCTGCAGTACTGCATTCTAACCACTGCCCCACCACTTGATCCTGTGTTTCAGATGGAGTTGACATACGTAGTCACAAGTGCACAGAGAAGACCCCCCCCACCTCGCTTACTCATAACAGCTTGTATCTTTATTCATTCTCAGGGGTAATCCTCCCCCCCTCATGATTATATATGATTATTTCTATCCAGCAGAAGGAAATTCACTGGCAGCTCAAATTCCTCTTCTCTTTTTCAGCCTATTCTGGGCTTCCAGAACTCACCTGCTGGGTTAGCAGTTTATGGGGAGCAGTTTTAGGCAGACTTGCCAAAAAGAAAAGGGGAAGGGAAACTTGTGGCAGAACTGAAAATTCATCGCCATAGTATTAGATGTGACCTCCTGTTTCCTCCTTTTGGGAGATGTTTAAGTGCCTGAAATTCCCAAAGCAAAACCCTGCATTTCTTTCCTGTGATCTCTGTTTCTAAGAACAGATTATGGGTATTAGTTGAGCTCTTTCAAAATAATTCCATGTAGATCAGTCAACAATATCCCTCCTCTGTGGAGTATTTTAGTCTCGGCAAATGTTGTGTTGTCTTTGTCTCCACCAGGTGGGAGGAGAATTTTCCAGCATTGTTTTGGAGCAAATGAACACATTTGGGAGAATTGCGGTGTGTGGTGCTATCTCCTTGTATAATGACACCCAGCTCAAAAAAGGTACAAATCTATTTTTCTTTCTGCATGCTGTTTGCTTTAATCTTCTTCTTCCCCTTCTCCGTCTTCTTTTCTTCTTCTTCTCCTCTTCCTTCCTTCTTCCTCCTCAGCCTCTTCTTCCCTTCCTCCCCCTCCCCTCCTTCTCCTTCCTTCTCCTTCCTTTTCCTCCTCCTCTCCCTTCTCCCTTCTCTTCTTCTCTTTCTTCTCCTTCCCTTTCCTCCTCTTCCTGCTCCTCCTCCTTCTCTATCTTCTCCCTTTTCTTCTCTTGTTTCTTACAAATATTGTTATTAAGGTTCAAAATCAAACATTAAATACAAACTAAAGGGGGAAAAAGCAGGGGAATAACAGGACAGATTAAAAAGTGGCAAAAAATACAACAAACAAATACTGTATATAAGGTGACCTCCAAATTATTTCAGCGTAGAGACAATAATACAACAGTGTTTTAAATTTAAATGAATAATCAATATTTAAGTTACTAATCAATATTTAAGTCAAATACTAATAAACATTCTAAAAGATCAATATTCTTATAGTGTTCTCTTAATTTTAATCTAACACATAACAAATACATTGCCAAACACGAATAACCATATATTTTTAAAAAAAACTACTTTTGAAAGGAGACTAAATACATAAAATGTTCTACTTCAGGGTAGAAATTAATAGAGGATTTGATGCATCTTGTATCTTTTCTTTTCAGTCTGCCCTCACCTCATCTTTCTGTCAGTTTTTATGAAGATGGGGGAAGAAAGCTCATTTTCCTCCCCAATCTTTATAAAAGGTTTCTGAGCATAATAGCAATTTGGTATGATTATCAGCCAAATTGTATGGTAGCAATATTTGTTAGTGACTGGAGAACATGGATAGATGCAGTGATGGGATTCAGCCAGTTCACACCACTTCGGGAGAACTGGTTGTTAACTTTCTGAGCAGTTTGGCAAACTGGTTTTTGGAAGAAATCATTAGGCCAGAAAACCGGTTGTTAAATTACTTGAATCCCACCACTGGATAGATGTTGCTGAGTAGATCTTCTTATTAGAGAGAAAACTTTATTTTTAATCCTTTTACCGATTACCTTTGTTTTACAATAAATATGAAATTTATTTAGGGCTACACTTCGAAAGAAAAATCCTGCGTTAGAAAATATATTGAAGATTCAGTGCTTTAATGATTCTATTTATTAAAGCAGCAGCATCTATTAAAAGCTCATGTCCAAGACTGTGGTTTAAGAAATAGTACTACTGTTAAATTATTTTTGAAGAGAGTCAATCCTAAAAGAACATTTATAATAAGAAAACTAGGAATCAACTCCCTTGGCCATTTCACTTTTTAAAACATAAAAACTTTAAGAATATACGTTTCATGTTATTGTGGTTTTTAAAACATCTTGCCCACATTAGGACAGTTTGGCATTGCAGTTACAATAACTTTGAATATTTTGCTATGTTTCCGTTGCCAAATTATTCTTCCCTTTTTTTGAAAATTTTCTCCTGCATTTCTTGGTTATGTACCAACCCTCCCCCAATTTTTAGAGTGCTTTCAGTTATTTTATATGGGCAGCCAATAAATAAATATATATTTGCAGAGTGCCTTCATTCATTCATTCATATATGTGTGTGTGTTTATATGTGTGTGTGTGTGTGTGAAATCACTTTGCAAATAATGTATTTATTTATTTATTATATTAAATCTTATAGGGTAATTGGGCATCTTATAGTTACATATAAGTTAAATAACAAGTTAAAATTAAATTTAAAATTCTCCTGCAAAGGTATTTCTTGGTTACGTACCAAGCCTCCCTCAATTTGCAGAGTGCTTTCAGATATTTTATATATATGTAAGATGGGCAGCCAATAAACAAATATATATTTGCAGACTGTTTTCATTCATTTATTGATATAAATATATATAATATTTATTTACTTATTTATTTATTGGCTACCCATCTTATAGGGTAATTGGGTGGCTTTTAGTTACATATAAGTTAAATAACAAGTTAAAATCAAACCTTACAGTCAAAGGCACATGGGGAGGGCGGGGGCGGAGTGGGAGGGAAGGTGGGATTTATTATCAGTCAATCAACGCATTGTAAGCCGCCCTGAGTCTCCGGAGAAGGGCGGCATATAAATCAAATTTTAAAAAACAAACAAAAAACCACCTCCATTGCAATCTTCCTCCACTGGGGCACCAGGACGACTGGCAGAGCCATACCTTTAGGCCCTTATGAAAAGATAGAAGGTTGGGGTCAACCTCACATGGGGGGGGCAAGCTGTTCCAGAGGGCAGGAGCAACGGCAGAGAAGGCCCCCCCTCCTGGACCCAGTCAGCTGTAATAATAGGGCTGATTGGGACCATGAGTGGTACGAGCCAATCACAGTGGGGTGAATAACCTGGACCCATGCCATGAAGGGCTTTAAAGGTGATCATCAACACCTTGAATTGCACCCAGAAGCAGACTGGTAACCAATGCAGCTCACAGAGCAGTGGTAGTACAGGGGCCACCAAAACTACCCACACTGCCACATTTTGCACCAGCTAAATGTTCCTTACTAGTTTCTCATTCAGGCACTGACCAGATCCAGTCTTTCTTAGCTTAGCTAATATAGACAGGATACCAAGGATAGATCTTTCTTTTCTTTTCTTTTCTTTTCTTTTCTTTCTTCCTTTCTTCCTTCCTTCTTTTTTTCTCTTTCCTTCCTTCCTTCCTTTCTTTCTCCCCTTCCTTCCTTCCTTTTTCTTTCCTTCTCTCTCTCCTCCCTCCCTCTTCTTTCTTTCTTTCTCCTTCCTTCTTTCCTTCCTTCCTTCCTTTCTTTTTCTTTTTCTTTCTCTCTTTCTCTTTCTTTCTTTCTCTCCTTCCTTCCCTCCCTCCCTCCTTCCCTCCTTTCTTTCTCTCTCTCTTTTTCTTTCTTTCAACAAACAACCTTTATTTTGAAATAGAATTCATTCAGGGTAACCTGACTGTGTGGCAACAACAACTGTGAACTTGCATATTTGAAATTTAATAAGTGATGCAAATCATTGCAGGCCACTAGAGGCCAGTCATGAAGTGATTACTTGGATCTGGTTTGTTCAATAACCCACCAGAGTCACACAACGCTGAGCCAAAAACCAAACCACCCATTTTGTGTAGAAGGTTCTGAAAACCAGAGTCAATCAAAATCAAAGCACTTAAATATCTTTCTCTAAAGTCTCATGAAGTTATGGAAAAGTAAATGATTATTAGGAAACACTAGATAGTAGCATTTTAAAAGCTGAACATTTCCTTATGTTAATTGTGACTTGTGACTATGACACAGTGGTGTTTATCATTTTGTTACCAACAAAACTGAAAGTTATTGTCTGCCTGGATGCCTTTTCAACTTTGCATTCCAACTGACCATCGTGGGATTTTTGATGGTCTCCCATTCAGGTTTTAACCCAAACTAATCCTGTTTATCCCCCAATCTCAGATAAGATTTGTTTGGTGCTTTTACCTGCTGAGACCAAAGTTGTATATTCTTCAAGAAAGATCTGTGATACCTGTATAAAACTGGTCCCTTGGTATTCAGTCCCTAATTATGTCTGTCCTCTTGAACTTTCTAATGAGCTAAGGAGATGCATCTGGTCAGCTACCATTTCAAATGACTCTTTTAATTTTGATTTTCTGCCAGATACAGCCAGGAAAGTTTAATTGCTCAATAATCTGGTTGAGATACTACATCGTTTTCACCATACAGTAACTCCTTGTAGAAGTTACAACAAGCCATAAAGAAGTTTTGATTTTTGATTAGTTGTTTGAACCCAATTGCATCCAGTTAGGAAGGACCACCTCTGAAGACTTGGTAACTCCAACCAATATTTAGGATTTATAGGAAACAGAAATAGCAGCAGAATAGTGTTCTGAGCTATTTTTAATAACAGCGGTAATCTTATACTGCTGCTTTCAAACCATTTAAAGAAACTTGGTTACAGGTGGTAACTAGACCAGCCTTTCCCCAGCTAGAGCACAAGACTGAAATGAATGTTTTACACTTTTAGAAGGCAAGAGATACAGTGACTTCTGTGTGCAAGTCCATCTCCCACTCTCCAATTATTTCATTTGTACCAAAATGCCAATGCTTCCTCATAAATACATACCACCAACAGTGGCCGTTTTAAGAGTTAGATCTAGATAGATAAAATGTGGGATAGAAAATATGGCTTTTTGTTGTTTATCAGAGTTATATCCTGTGTTTTCTTTTAGGAGCTCAAGGCTGCATACTCTGCATTCCCATTTCTAATTTTCCTCCCCAACAACCACATGAGATGGATTGGGCTAAGAGAGAATGATTGACTCCCTCACACCCAATGATCTGCTGTAGCTGAATGTGGACTAGACATTAGATCTTCCCGCTTAAGACAATCTTAAAATCTTCCTGCTTTCAGTTCAATGCCTTCCTTGCCATATTATTTTTTGCTCAGTTCAGTTTTTAACAAGGTCTCAACGAAAAGACGTCCTGAAGTATATACAGGTAGTCCTCAGCCTACGACCACAATTGAGCCTAAAATTTCTGTTGCTAAGCGAGGCAGTTGTGAAAGCGAAGTTTCCCCCCTCCCCCATGTTATGAACTTTCTTGCCACAGTTGTTAAGTGAATCACTGCAGTTGTTCAATTAGTAATCTGGTTGTTAAGTGAATCTGGCTTCCCCGTTGACTTTGCTTGTCAGAAGGTCGCAAAAGGAGACCCCAGGACACTGCAACAGTCATAAATATGAATCAGTTGCCAGGTGCCTGATTGTAAGTGTGAAAAATGGACATGTCACTTTTTTCAATGCTGTTGTAACTTTAAATGGTCACTAAATGAACTGTTGTAAGTCAAGGACTACCTGTATACTGCAAACATAGTCTACCTGTAGCTGTTTCTGTTCGAGACAAACATTCAATGGGCTAGTTTAAGTATGAGAAAAACATCAGTGTATTGGTAAAGAGTGAGATAAGATGAGAGAGCTGTGAAACAGATATGTGAGATGTCACTGTTTTCATTAAAACACTTGTCACCTGCTATACAAAAATGGCACAGCAAGTCATATGTTCACAGGGATGAGACAAACAACCAATGCAAGTAGAACAGCAAAATCGTGCAGCTGAGTTTGATAAAATGTGACCAAGCCACTGTTGTGTCGTTCAGAAAAATTCATTCCAATGATTCTTGCATAACTTTAACACTGCTGTTTTCTTGACCTCACTTTACAGCCTAAACCAAAATTGGCTGTATTTGAACAAGAAAATCAGCCTAGAACTAGTTCATGAGCAGCCTTGGATCACAAAACAAAGGATGGCTTTGATGGGCAATCTTGCTGATGTTTTATTTGCACGTTTGGTCGTATTTGGAAAGAGACACACTTAGTTTTATGCTTCAGTTGTGGAGGCTCAATACAATTTCACTTGCAAAAATTTGACAAAATCATGTTACGTTGGCCAGAATGGGCAGAAACTAGGAAACATGACATATGCAATGTTGGGTAAGCTTTGGGTAAGTTAGGAAAGTTTGTGGCACCACTTCTGGAGATATGCTGTGACAGAACAAACCTTCCTAACTTTTTCTTCTCTGAACTTTCTTCTAGGCCCATTTGTTCAGGTCCCCATGATCACGAAACAGTTGTATATGGAAGGTTTTCTAGTCACACGTTGGGACAATAGGAGAGATGAAGGGATAAATGCAATACTGAAATGGATTCAAGAGGTAAGCTGATAGTAAAAAAGTCTCTCTCTCTCTCTCTCTCCCTCTCCCTCTCCCTCTCTCTCTTTCTCTGTCCCTCCCTCCATCTCCTTGTGTATAATCCAAAGGAAAAAGACTTTGATACCTCACCTTTTCCTTGGGAGCCCAAGGTAGCATGCCACAGGAATTCTCTGTCCTCATTTTTTTTTTTTTTTTTTAAATTTGATTTATATGCCGCCCTTCTCCGAAGACTCAGGGCGGCTTACAATGTGCTCAGCAATAGCCTTCATCCTTTTGTATATTTATACAAAGTCAGCTTATTGCCCCCACAAACTGGGTCCTCATTTCACCTACCTTAGAAAGGATGGAAGGCTGAGTCAACCTTGAGCCTTGGCGAGATTCGAACCCTGCAGTAATTGCAGGCAGCTGGTCTTAAGCAGCTTAATAACAGGGTGCCTTAAACCCTAGTACTACCAAGGCTCTCTAATTTTATAGCAAGTTCAACCCTTTGAGATTGGCTGGGCTAATTAGTCAGTTCTGTGATTGACTACAGAACCTGGGTCTCCCTTAGCCAAGTCCAACCCACCTCAAAACTACATATTACACTTGCTTCCCTTTGCCACGCTACTTGGCCAAGGAAAGACTTTGGTCTGCAGCAGGGGTGAAATCCAGCAGGTTCTGGAGAACCGGTAGATTTTGCAGTATCCTTCCCCTGCCATGCCCACAAAACCACGCCCACCAAGCCACACCACGCCCACCAAGCTATGCCCACAGAACCATTAGTAAAAAAAAATTGAATTTCTCTGCAGACAGAAAAAACATGCAGGAGTTATTGTGAGTATTGCTCATTATTTTTATTCTCGAATATATTCAGGAATAGACCTACATGTACTCCAGTGTAATGTGCGGCTGTGGGTATGTCTCTAAAACACACGTGTAATGCTTTCCTTTTGTCTCGTCCCTTGCTATTTTGAGCAGAAACTTATTTTTAGATTTTAAATCCCAAGGGAGAACTGCATACATTTGAATGTTTCATTTTTCGCACAGGGGAAAATTAAATTCCGCGAGGACATCACCAAGGGTTTCGAAAACATGCCAGCTGCGTTTATGGGAATGCTCAAAGGAGACAACTTTGGAAAGGCAGTAGTAGAGGTATAAAAAGCACTCTGTTTGGCTTGTGAAAACTATAAATCATTGTATCTGCACTTCCTTATGGACTGACTTGTCTTCTTGCCAAGCATGATCCAAGATTAGGCTAATCCACTATGCCACTCCAGCATGCCTCAAGTGCAGCCAAAACCACAGAACATCAGGATTATCATGGGAAGTCTGAGGACAAAAGAAACAAATGCCTCTTAGAAGATTTGTTATATTCTGTTTTCAATAGGTTATCCAGTTTGAATAAAAGAAGCAGTCTGAAAAACCGAAGCACACAGAATCCTTTCTTATCCATCAATAGTTTCTACATCCAGATTTTGTATTCATACATATTATGGACGGTTCAACTTGTGTTAGCTGACAAATAACATGAGATGCCATAATCGGTTTTATTTGTTATCCTATAGCTTTCATGAGCAAACAACAGAAACAAGAATAAAAATAGATAAAACACAAATATGCATTTACAGCTATCCATCTTCAATCTTACTATGGCTGCCCAGCTGAAGCCCCACTGCTAGTCAAAAAAACTTTGTGGATTGTAAAAAAAGCCTTTTGGGCAAGCAGAAAATCAACAAAGGAACTGGGAATTTCTGCTAGAAGGAGAAGGATAAGATTTTGGCACAAGGTTATATAAAATGTGAAAAACAGGTAGTTGTCAGGTTACGAACCTAATTGGGACCAGAATTTCTCACTAAGCAAAATATTAAGTGGCAGTGGAATATAGCAGCCTCTTCAGCTCCACCATGCTGTGAAGGGCACCAAAAGGCAGAGATGAACTAGAGGCAGTTCATACAGGGCAGAAGGTGACCATATTCTGTGGTCACATTCTGTGTGCAGTAATCATGGGGTTACTGCAATGGTCATAAGTAGGAGGATTGGTAGAGCGTCCTTTTCTTAAGAAGGGTCTTAAGACCCTTCTGTTTCAGCAAGTCGGACTGGCCTAGTATGAATTTTTAAAATGTATGTATGTTTTAATTCGCGGCCAACTTTTATATTCGATTTTAATTGGTTTTAAATTTTATAAATCTATGTGTTTTAATATGGCCGTACACCGCCCTGAGTCCTTTGGGAGAAGGGCGGTATAGAAATCTAATAAACTCTTAAACTCTAAACTCTTCAGTGCCATTGTATCGTTGGATGGTTGCTGAACGAATGGATGTTAACACAAGGGTTACCCGTTATGTGTTATCATTCCAACTCTGAATGCCACAAGGGCAGAGACAATGAACCATAGGGAGATTGCTGTATCTACTCTGAAATAATGGAGAAGGAAGGTAAATCCCCAACAAAGTTGGTCAGGGAGTAAATGTAGGCAGGCATGCTTCTTCCAATTGTTTTTGATAACTACCAAAGCTGAGCAGTCATTTCAAATTATACTGTCACTCAATTTCAAGTGACTGAGCAATCAGATTTTTTAACTGGAAACCAAACAAGTTTGTATGAAGTGTTTGAGAAATGTCACAAGGAGCTTTTGCTTAAATTTTAACAAATTTAACAGATTAACAGAGTTGGAAGGGACCTTGTAGGTCATCTAGTCCAACCCCCCGCTCAAGCAGGAGACCTTACACCATTTCTGACAAATGGCAGTCCAATCTTTTCTTGAAAGTCTCAAGTGATGAAGCTCCCACAATTTCTGAAGGCAGGCTGTTCCATTGGTTGATTGTTCTATCAGAAAGTTCCTCCTCATTTCCAGGTTGAATCTCTCCTTGTTCAGTTTCCATTCATTATTTCTTGTCTGGCCTTCAGGTGTTTTGGAGAATAGCTTGACACCCTCCTCTCTCTGGCAGCCCCTCAAATATTGGAACACTGCTATCATGTCTCCCCTGGTCCTTCTCTTCACTAGACTAGCCAGGCCCAGTTCCTGTAACTTTTTCATGTTTTAGTCTCCAGTCGCCTAATCATCCTAGTTGCTCTCCTCTGCACTTTTTGTAGAGTCTCAACCAGTGGTGGGTTGCTATTGGTTCACCTCAGTTGTTTTTTTTATTTATTTATTTATATGCCGCCCTTCTCCGGAGACTCAGGGCGGCTTACAAGGCGTTAAGCAATACTACCAGTTCAGGTGAACCGGTAGTAGCGGCGGTGGGAGGCTCCACCCACCCACCCGACACGTCATCAAATACAATCTGCGCATGCGTAGAAGCTTCTGTGCATGCGCAAATGTGGCGCGCACGTGAGTGAACTGGTAGCAAAGGTAAGTGAAACCCATCCCTGGTCTCAACATCTTTTTTATAGTGTGGTGACCAGTACTCTAGGTGTGGTTTTACTACTTTAGAGAGTGGTATTAGTACCTCACTTGATCTTGATTGTATCCCTCTGTTAATGCAATTTAGGATTGCATTGGCTTTTTTGGCTGCTGCTGCACATTGCTGGCTCATATTTAGCTGGTTGTCCACTAAGACTCCCAAGATCCCTCTGACAGTTACTGCTATTGAGCCTGGTTTCACCCAGTCTATATGTGTACTTTTGGTTTTTCTTGCCTAAGTATAGGATTTTACTTTTCTCTACATTGAATTTCATTTTGTTAGATAGGGCCCAGTGTTCAAGTCTGTCAAGATCCATCTGGATCTTGAGCCTATCTTCTCGGATGTTAGCTATTCCTATTACTTCTTCCAAGTAGATGGGAAAGAACCACCGAACAGAGCAGCCTGGTGGCTGACAGATAAATTTATGCCAATAATGAAAGATTAAAAGTCAAACTCTTCTTTCTACTCTGGTTCTAGCCTAAAAGCTGCATTTGGGAATACTGAATCTAGAGTAAGGAATTTGAATTGAATAGAGTCCAGCTGGGTAGTCAGAACATGGATCAAGAGTCGCATAAAATAATAGTTGCAATGAAACTTTTATCTGGTGGCACCTATTATCTTGTGTGGAATGATATGGTGGGATTGCTGCAGTAATTCTTTGTGCCACACTGGCGATATAATCATAATCACCTTTTGCCATTGGGTCCCCCCCAATATTTAAAAAAATGTTTTTTCCTGACATTGGTCTGACTAAAGTTTTTAGGTTTTTTCAATAATCTGTACCTTAATTTTTGGAAGTTAGCTATCAGATCTCCTTAGGATTGTATTGGACCAAGATAGTAGGGCTGGTGCTTGATAGAATAAAGATGGGGAGATGTCACAGATTATGGGTTTTCAAACATTGAAAGATGGATTCAAACAACAGGCTTACCCGCACGTGCACAACAGTGGTGGGTTTCAAATTTTTTTACTGCCGGTTTTGTGGGTGTGGCTTGGTGGGCGTGGCATGGCTTGGTGGGCGTGGCAGGGGAAGGATGCTGTAAAATCTCTATTCCCACCCCACTCCAGAGGAAGGTTACAGCAAAATCCTCATTTCCTCCCAATCAGCTGGGACTCGGGAGGCAGAGAATAGATGGGGGTAGAGCCAGTCAGAGGTGGTATTTACCAGTTCTTCGAACTACTCAAAATTTCTGCTACTGGTTCTCCAGAACTGGTCAGAACCTGCTGAATATCACCTCTGGTGCACAAACTCCCTTTGAGGAGCATCTTTCAATTCTTTTTTTTTTTCCCTCCTTCCCCCCCCCCCCCCCCCCCCCATTGTTCCTATTCACTCTTCTTGCTATTGTGAAAAGTACATTTTGGTAAGAATAAAGGTAATCCGCAATTTATAGCCATTTCTAGCAATCTTTTAATGTTATGGTAGCACTGGAAAAAAAGTGACGTATAACTACTGATAGTCCTCATATGTATGACAGTTGCAGCAGTCCTGCAGTCATGTGATCAAAATTTGGGCATTTGGCAAGCAGCACATATGTACAGTGGTTGCAGTGTCCTGGGGTCCCATTTGTAACCTTCCCAGCTAGCTTCCGACAAGCAAAGTCAATGAAGAAAGCTGGATTTGCTCAATGACTGTGTGGTCCATTTATCAACCATGGTGATTCTCTTAATGACTGCAGCAAAAAGGTCATAAAACCAGGTGTTACTCACTTAATGACCGTTTTGCTTAGTAACACAAGCGCCAGTCCCAATTTGGTTGTAAGTTGAGGATTACCCATATAGACGAAAGGGATGCAGTTGCCACTGGTGATCCTTATTTTTAATCCGAATGTTCTGATGTTTTCCCTAAATATCAATTGCTTATGTTTTTTTAAAAATCCTAAATTATACGCAAATTATTAAAACTAGAACCGGGCAGACAATTTCCCTCACCCCCACAAGACTTATATGGTAGAAGAAAAACGTTTCATAGCTAGAATGTTACTTCCCTTTAGTAATGAGAGGCCAAAGGGTTTGTAGGAATATACCGATTTTTATTTCCCACTAATCTTTCCAGATGTCCACGGCCTCTTGAGTTTCATTTAAAACTCTTCAGTGAGATTATCAGGAAGAAATTACTTTAAGACTCTCTAAATTGCAGAGCTTCTGCCATTGCTATAGGGCAGTGATGGTGAACCTTTTTGGCACCGAGTGCCAAAAAGGTTGTGTGGAAATGTCATGCGTGCGCTCATCAAGGCCAGAAAAGGAACTTTTGGGTTCTAGCACACATGTGCACTCAACAATCACCTGGCCAGTGCACATGTGCAGACTGGTTTTCGGCACTGCTGCACACACGAAGAGATCGCGCTCTGGAAAAGCCAAACTTCAGGGTTCTTTCACGCATGCGCATCCAACAATCAGCTGGCTGGTGTGCATGTGTATGCCGATTTTCAGCACTGCTGCGCGCACAAAGGACAGCTGATCGTCATGTGTGCATGCGAGCCAGAAACCCAGAAGACAAACAGGCAAGACCGCACATGCCAGGCAACATGGCTTCGCTTGCCACTTTGGGCATGTGTGCCATAGGTTCGCCATCATGGCTATAGGGCAGTGATGGCTAACCTTTTTTCCAGCACATGCCAAAGGCAGGGGGAGTGCAGGAAGGTCGCGCGTGGGTGCCCACACCCATAATTCTATGTGCCCTGCCCCTCTGCACATACACGCATGACCCTCCCGCGCTCCCCCCGCTTTTGGCACGCGATGGCACAGTTGGCCCAGTAGCCCGTTTTTTTGCCCTCCCCAGGCTCCAGAGGCTTTCTAGGAACCTGGGGAGGGCAAAAACGGCCTCCCCCCCCGCCCCGAGGCCCTCCAGAGGCTGAAAACAGGCTATTTGCCGGCTTCCGGTGGGACCGGAAGGCCCAAAAATCATCTGGCCAGCGCACACGTGTGCCAGAGCTGAGCTCACATGCCCACCGATATGGCTCCGTGTGCCACCTGTGGCACCCGTGCCATAGGTTCGCCATCACGGCTATAGGAGATAAATCACTA